TGAAATGCCATGCAAGCGGGTCATATCGTTTCGGGTTTTAAAGACTGAATGAATCGCTGATAACAGGTCATTGTGGCCATGTAACATGGCCAAGATTGATGGCTATGTGTAGAGGTGCATTTTACTAAGCATTCCCTATTTGGAAGTGGTGAACCATTTCCGGAAAAGAGCTCGTTCAACTCTCTATTCATGGAACAAAGTCAGTGCTAGGTGCATCCAATATGAACGCAAGCCCATGCTGATGTGCTCCAAAATAAGCGGTACAAATCACACCTTCACTGCAATCAGCACTGAGCACGTGCATGTCCTGGGGTCATGAAATGTGGCCACTGGTCTCAATGAAACTTAGCGTGGGCTGCTCCTCGTGGGTAACCGAGTGGCAATGACTGTGCATTCTGTAATTGTTTTTCGGGCATACATTTTGACAGCATATGCTGGAGTGCAAGTGTGCAATGTGGCATGCCGGTAACATGCTTCCATTCCATACAAACGCTAAATGAGTCCCATGTACTGCATAATGTAGCCACATAACTACATAGCATGCTTACATGCATGTTTGCACATTCGCAGACGCTAATCGAGGGACATTCCTATGACAATGCAATTACATTTACATTGTCCAACTGAAACGATATAGGCTATAAGAGCGGCCATGGCAACATCCTTTTTCATATAGTGCGGCACAGAGGAAATCACACAGCACGCAAAATGAGCTAGCTCCCTGTAAAAACATAGGAATCTTGGTAAAAACCATATCCGTTGGAAGTGCCCTGATCGGAAGCCTTGTAACATGACCGCGGAATGCTGGCGAACTCCGGGAGCGCTCACTTCTCGGCGTCCCGTCCGGACTCCGGACTGCCGGAGGTCGTTTGGGCTGGTCAGGGAGGAGGGCTGCGCAGGAAATACCACGACAGGTAACAGGCGCCGCGGCGCACACTTCGTGATCACGAGATATTGGATACAGGAACGTCCGACGGCATTACTGAGATAATTAACTGCCGATTGCATAGCTCAAACCTTATATCAATCAAAAATGTAGCAGTGGGATTCTGCTGGAGATGATCTGATTCATTCAAAGTATGGTATCGTGAAATACCAATTTCTTATTTTGAAGATAACATTTTCGTTCAAGGGAGGTAGGATACCCTGGCGCCTTTCACAGTTCAGCGTGAGGTCAAGTGAATGGGTAAAACAAAACACCAACTGGTTGGCTTGATGGTAGCAAACGGGTCGGTACCTTCATATGCGGAGGATCATTCGGGGAATGAATTTATTGCAGTTTTGTATGAACGAAAAGTTTGACAGTTTGTTTCGCTTGACGTACGGACCATAGCACTAGGCATGGTCAGAAAAGTTTCAAATGCACAGTTGGCCCCATGACATGGCCTGTGGTACCCATTCAACACTAGGACAGGAAGAACTAGATTGATATCGGGAATCTAGCTTCGTCATAATACAGTGAATAATCCGGGGATGTTGACCCTTCCGCCAGCATCGGATTGCCATTGAACAGGGTCGGCACTAAAATCCGACAGTTCACGGAATCGAATGGCATCCGTGACCAGCGGACGGAACTATGTCAACAGCGGTGAAATGCGCAGCGAAATTTTCCATTGAGGCAGTGGAAACCGCCACACGCTGATTCGTCGGCTAGACGATGTCAGGAAGCTACCGGTAGGCATCGAAATAGGTAGATGGGTAGATTAGCAATTATCATTTTGTGCAATGCACATATAATATGTAAAGTCGAGTGTCGACCAAGGAAGCCAGAGTTTTGGCTGCATTCACATTTGTCGTTGAGAAGAAAACAAGTGGCTGGTTGTACGAGTATGCAATAATTTAGTATTATTCTCAATATCAAATTCATGCATATTGGATAGGTTAGCTTTCCGTAGGCGTAGCGTATAAAAAGTATCCAGTGAATTTTCAGCCCCGACGTTGAGCCCCCACGCAGTCGCAGAGTCCCCCAGTTACCAGCTTATGAGATGAGTCCACGCGAGCCAAGAACAATGGTCGGAATATAAAATCTGTGAAAGGCTACAAAGCTTACCACTTCAAGTGCACCACTTTACATCAATCAGCGTGGTGCAATGAATGTTTCAGAACTCAATTTCGCCGTTTACGGTTAAAACTCGACACACGTTCTCAACGAGATAATCGACACATTTTAGCATTTTGATTGTTTTTGCTTCTGTACTCAGATTATACACATTTTCTAAATCATTTAACCCTCGCCCATGTAGGGGGTTAAATGGTGCAACCCCCCCTCCCTCTGAGGTTTTTCGGAAATAGTGCAAAAACGGCGGCGCGCAGCGCCGCCAAATTTTGGGTACCTTATGGGGCAAACCTTGCGCATCTTTTGATAAAAAAAAAATTTGACCGGGTCATGTCAGGTCACGGAGTTATGACGTCACAAAGGGAACAGCCTCCGGCCGGATTTTCACAAACTGAGTGCCAACGCCCGAGGTTTCCTGCCGGTGGTACGGAGATCGGTTGATGGATCGTGATGAAACTTCCCATGCATGTTGGGGCAAGTATTGGCTATCATATGGTATAAGAAACTTGACCGAGTCAGGTCAGGTCACGGAGCTATGACGTCACAAGAGGAACAGCGTCCGGTACTATTTTTGAAAAGCGCCCGAACCACTATTTTGCTAATTCTTGTCACCTCAATGGGAATATGCAGCAATATTAGCTTCTATAGGGAGCAAATGGACCTCCCAAATCCAAAAATGCAATCAGATTTCAAAAATTTAAATTTTGATTTTTCGAATTTCTGCCGCCGACTGTGACCTTGCCGACTTCCGGCGCTCCCAACGCGCCATTTTTAGAGCTAGGGAAACGAAATACATACCAAACGATAGAGAATTGATCAAGGAACACGATAGTGAAGGTTTCAAGTCGATATCTCCCACCGTTTTGCCGCAATCGCCGCCGAAAGTTGAAAAAAAGTCTATTTTTCCGAAAATTTGACCTTTGACCGGTCAAAAGTAGGTCAAATGTTGACCTAGGACCAAAAAATATACCACCAATCGCGAGATCTCGGCGAGAGCAATCCGTTGGTTTTTTCCGCTAAGCTCTACGACGCTCCGTTTTCAAACGCCAAGGGGGGGGGTCGCACCAACCCCCCCCCCCCTGCATGGGCGAAGGTGGCAGATCGCCGTTTACGGGCGAGGGTTAAATCGGTGACGCATCTATGTTAAACTTTTATTTAAGCAAAATGCCCGAATAAATAAACGAGTGAACAAACGCACGACGCACAATATTAAGGGCTAGGCCAGAAGGATCTCGACTAAAATGTGAATTGAAGGACATTGAGCTGACCTAAACTTGTATTACATTCTCCGTATCCCATCATAACCTCATCTCAGCGAAGGTCTTCAAGTTCAGTCCACAACTTCATTATCTGACTCAGTGGCAGACGTGTGCATGGATCCGAGAAAATGGATTTGGGATCTGATCCCATGAATCCTGATCTTGAATCCGTAGGGATCATAGATCCAGCTATGTAATTTATCGAGAGATCCGTAGGGATCATACATCCGAGTCTATTTTTTGCTAAAGTTCCGGATAGATCATAGATCCTCATTTATTTTTTGTCAACGCAGAAAAAAATCACTCGTTGCAACTCACAAACGTTCCATTTTAGTGATTTTATGTAATTGCACGTCATAATCCATAGTTTTGTGGCACTTGTTGTCATAAAACACTTGGAAACCTGGTTTCAAATGTGGTGCACGGTGGGATCCACTCAGATCATAGATCCATATTCCTAGTTTTTCGTCAGATCCTGTGATATCATAGATCCAGGATAATTTTTTCACGCCGAATTCAGTGGGATCATAGATCCTAACCTGCAGTTTGCTTCGAGATCCACTGAGATCATAGATCCATCACTCGGATCCATGCACATGTCTGCTCAGCGGCAAGTCAAACACACCCGCCTGTATCACATCCCTACAGTTCAGTAGAAATGTTTTCACGCCGGCACTGGCAGTACCGTCACCCTTACCAGGCGGCTGACCCTATTACGCACCCCGTGCAAACCAGGACAGATGGGCAGCGCGATGTGGCTGACCCTCAGAGCACAGATTGCTATCGGATCGAAAAACCAGCTGACCGTACCGTGTGCTCAATTAACCGACTGATTGATGGAACTTCGTGTCCACCGGAGCCGGCCGGAACACGACGAGATGAGAGGGTTTTGGGACAGTCGGACGGAGGGGGACGGGAAGGATGTTTGTAGGAGGTACAGGACGGACCGCCCGGACTCTCAGGACCGGGAGGGGAGGTCGGGAGTCGTCCCTCCTCCCCTGCCGACCGGCGCCGGCGGCCAGGGCTGCTGTCCCGGCCGAGCGTCTGCCGGGCGGCGGCTCGCGCCCGGGCACGCGGCGCCACGGCTCATTTGAATGCGTCCCTGCCGGTCGCGGGTCGTCACTGACGGACGGGTGACAGCCACTGGTTGGTCGGCACCGACAGGGGTCCCGCCGACCGTCCAGAGCCGATCGAGAGGGGTTTCTGGCGAGCAGGACCCGAGCGACGGGCGCGACATCTATGCAGAGGTTCGTGGAAGCACAACGACGGCGAGCCAGGTGTCCATGTCCAGAACTGGTTACTCGGAGTGGACTGCTGGCGAGTCGAGCGGTAATTGCGTGTGGAGGCGTGTCTCAGATCTGTCACCAACCAGCCGAGTGCGAGCCACTTTACAGCAGCGACAGGAAATGTCAGCGTCTGCCGCACGCGGACAAACTTTGCAGGAGCCGGTGGGCGAACGGAGCGAGCGCGCTGACGCAGCGATACATCTGGTAATGTTTGATACAACGCGTCCCGCCAAGTGTCAAAGTGCGATTGAATGCAGCCGTCCGTATTTCATCCATCAACGAGGCCGCCCCCGCTGCCGGAAGCTCGTCAGAATCTCTGAGAGAGGCCGGCCATTCAGGCTGCGAACTCCCAGCAGCAAGTGTGGGCGGGGGCGAGACAATACGAATAGACATATTGCATTGGTCACAGAAATGCATTTATTTGCCGGCAGAAAGCATCACACAATGACAATCCATCCGCGAAGGCGGAATGAAACTACCCACGCTGCAGAACGGGCATTGGTCTGTTGCACATCAATATACAAAAAGGCATTTACTTACAGTGCATATTCCTGCCGTGATCAATCATCTCGCTCCAAAAGTGTATCGCAGTCGTTCCGATCGGTACATTACTAGCTGCAGTCATACGCTATGAACAAGACGGATATTGTTTACGCCAAAGAGAGACAGAGAGAAAAACATGATACTGAAACATGATGCTACTGCAACTATTCCGGTGATGAATTATTCACGCGTATCTCAAGCCTCGCGCTTCAAGTCAAGTATGCATGTCTTCTACAAACTTCCATCAAACCTTCTCAACCACCCAAACAAGCACGCCATCACAGGTTTCGGATGGATGGAGACCACTTGGGAACAACTGGGATGCTTCTCCAAACAACCATTTCAAAAACGTTCGACACACCCAGCAGGTAAGAGCCGATCCTTGCATGACATCATCTCGCTCGACACAGTTTTTAACCTTTTCCAGACGCCAGGCCTTCGAGCTCGAGTGGTTCCCCCGGTATCGCGCACCCCCATTGTCGATCGGTCATCAAAACATGGCCGCTTGTGTCATCAAAACATGGCGGTATTACGTGAGCACCGGTTAGCCGGCTCGGAGAACTAAGCAAACAACGCTACGTAGAGCGTCACAGGGTCGAATAAAACGGAACGTTCCTGGAATATCGCGACGGTGCGGGAGAAGTCTTTCCCAACCATTGGTCACAGAATACCGACCTCAAGAAGCAGTTTACTGGTAGCCGGGTCAAGATCCCTTTCAGCAACCATTTATACGGGAAACCGACCCATGGAACAACAATCTCACGGGACTGTCTTCCCAGTCCCAGGTCGCATGTCCCCTATTCGGAACTGTTTTCCCAGGTCGTGTCTCCGCCTTCTCGGAGGTGAATGTACTAGAGCTGCTTTCACTGATCAGGGTCAGCCGTGTTTTCCGCCGACACCCAGGTCCTTGGACTGTCCGTTCAGGTCCTTCTGGGCACTCGAAGGTGGCCTGGCAGGGAAACAGGCGACACGTCAATAAAGCGAACTAATACATAACTTAAACACACCGCTGCTAGATACTACTCACGGCAATCGCTGGGGAAATGTCATAATGTCAAAGCGTTGAAAAACAAAACAAAACAAATAACATGGTGAAACGCCAGATAAATTGATATATAACAGATGCAAGCATAATGGGAATTCAATGTCAGTTGAAGAATACTAAAGCGGATAATAGCCGACAAAATTTAGTTCATTTTAAACAAGTTAACAGGTAAATATTCGTTTAAAATATTCTAACTAAGACAAATGAGTCGAATTACTCCAGGCCCACCACACGCTGCTGTTGAACACTGCAATACACCCCTAGGTAACCTACCTGGAGGGCTGCGTCTTGGGCTTGGGCATCTTCTGTAGCAGCGCCTGGATCTCCTTCTTCTCGTCATAGCCGCGCCACAGCTGGTAGAGTGCCAGCAGGTGCCGCGAGATCTCCATCACCTTCTCCAGGTTGACGTGCAGCTCGGCGAACCACTGTTTGTTGTCCTTGTTGAGAATCACACAGGCCATGTGCAGACACGCTACCGGGCAGGGAGGGAAGAGTTTACCCGACGGGGTCGCGGGGTACGACGGCTATCGTAGTATCTCGAGTATGAACTCGGACGGTGTCGGTCGTAATGAGCCGAGACGGATAATAACCTCGGCGAATTAGCCCGGGTTTCACCCAGGACCGTAAAACTAATCGTTGAATGATCTCTCGGCGGCGTAATGCGGCTGACCCCACAGCTGGTATCGGTTTATGAACAGCGTATTAGGAGCGTGACGACTGTCTGCGGTCCATACAGGCATCGGTTACATGGCCGTTAAATTATTTTACGACTGTGAACGCTAATGAGCTGCTCAAGTCGGCGGGGGAAGTCATGAGGGTACTACAGGAGGGCGAACCGAAGGACGTTACTGTGACATAACTTCACGGGATGCAATGTGAAAAGGGTTTATATTTATCACTGAGCACTTGTTTCTTCCGATATAACATCGGCGATCACACAATTGAAGTAATTGCAAATCGACAACGCCGCCTCAACCATAAAATATTGCCAATTTCAGCACCATGCGCCACTCTTTCAGTTCAAGTGGCGTTCGATAAAGTGATTGCAGTAAAATACCTTGTCCTCGGTAAATATCTATGACACAAACAAGTAGAACGTCAATGTCGAACACATTTCAAAAATAGATCCCGACAAAAAGAGTGCCGCTAACCCCTCCCCGCCCACGAAAAGGGTCAAATACGTCTAATCTCTGACGAAATTATTAGCGGCCTAAGACAATAAATAAAACAGCAACATAATACGTGATCGTTACCGACATTCAGTACCGGCCAATGACAATCTGAGGCAAAGCAGGCAGCAGGCATCAATATATGTAAGTAAGGCGTAGGTCCTACCGTACCATAACTTTGAGTGCGCAAGGGTTCGACCTTTGAAGTGGGGTACCGCTAATGGACTCACCAATTCATAAATCACGATTCAACCCATTGAATTCCGAGAGTTTGCCAAGTTTCTCATTCATCCACAGTCGGTCATACAAATATCAAGTAGTGGGTGGAGCTGCAACGTTTCATTCAACACTCAAGCTGAGCGAGCGCACTTCTACCTAAGCAGGTTCTGTAAGAAAAAGTCGACACAAAATCGACGCTGTGCGTTGAAAAACATTTCAGCATTATGACCAATGAACCTAAATCATGCAAGAGAAATATCTGCGCGAAAGGACAGTTTGAGCAGTGCCAGTGTGGCTTGCTCAGATAATAGCAGTAACAGTAACTTGCGTCTTTTATGTGCTATTCCACTCCAAAAAACGACCCCATTCCACTTTACGCAAACAATGAAATAATATATAGAAAAAGTTACGCTAGAGTTACAACATCCGCGGAAATACAGCCTCGGTGATCTCCGTTATAAAGCGTTTCCTATAAGTTTTTGACGGCAGCTGCGCTTTCATCTATTTCCGCTCTCCAATGTTGCTAAACTTGGCGAGAGCGATTGGTTTTTGTCATGGTGGCCGTTCTACTATTGAGCTGCGCTGTGGCCGCCGATGGATAGTGCCACAGCGGGACGGGACGGGGAGGGCGGGACGAGGGGTGACGGGGGTGGGGGGCTGTCTGCGCCTCACACGGCCCCGTCCAGCCCATCGCCGACCAATCTCTATCACCTCCAGGGCCACTTCCGGCGGCGGCCGGCTCTTTTTCCGCCGCCGTGCCGGCCCAACTGGAGCCGTGTGGGTGAAAGATGAGCGGCGCGCCCTGTGGTCAGCCACCAGGGCCATTTCCCCGGCAGCGAACGATACCAATCCATCATCGAGCGGGGGCGTCGGACGGCAGCCGGCACCTGGCCCGGCCCATCCAACATCTCCGAACGGGCGCAGATATCCCTCGGACGATCGTGAGCCGCGCGACAAAAGCGGCACATGGACGCCACGCGAAATGTCAGGTGTGACGTCAAGCAAGCGCCATTCAGCCGCGAACGATGCCGCGTCTCGGCGGCGGGCCTGGTCGGGTTATGAGACGCAGGGGTGGTGTCCGAACGGCCCCCAGGGCGGTATGAGGCCGTGACGAGCTGACGTCCCCGCGGGAGGGTAGTTCGTCGCCGTCATAGTGTTTGTTCTGGCCACCCAGGCCCACGCTTGCCACGACACAATTGGCCGCTATCGGTGTTAGGACACCCACGCGTCAGCCACTATTTCGGTGGTGCGAAACTGGTCAACACATCTCGGTCGTCAGCGGCGCGCCGGCGGACGGCGGACACCCCAGGGGGCGTGCGATACGCCGCCCCCGCAGCGGGTCGCCGGAACTGGCCCCTCGCCGCCCCGCCCGCCCCTGCTCGGTCGGCCAGGTCGCAGGCGACAGGGCGCGATTCGCTTCCGGGCGCCCGACTGTCACAGCGCTCCCGGCGACCCGGCAGCCACAATGCGGTGGCACGGACCGAAATGGGCCATCGCCACCGGTCTCCGTGCTGGCCGGGCGGTAAATCGGTGCGCGGGTGGCGGCCGCCGCCCCGCCCCGGCCGCCCGCTACGGGGGGAGGTTTACGGTGACAGACAGACGGCGCCTGGGGCCGCAGCCGCCGCCGCCGCCGCCGCCGCCGCCGCCGCCGCCGCCGCAGCCGCCGCCACCATTCAGATCTGGCGGCCAGAGCTGCGCCGGTTACCGGCGGAGTGGCCGGGCGCACACCATTCACCGGCTCCATTCACCAGAACAGTCGAGATACGCGGCTGGCGGCCGGAAGCCATGGCAATGTTCCACCGTCGCAGACGTGCCAGAAGGATATGTGAGGTAGCCGCTGGACAGAAAACCATACAATGCAATTGTACCTGAACATTTCCCGGCTTAAAGAACATCCGTTGGAAAGAGAGCTCAGCGCATATTGCAGCGGGGAAACAATGTTCCGCAGTCCCATCAGAAAATGAACAGAGTCCGTTGAAGTCAATCGACCGTGGTCAGCGGACGCGGATACTGAATCCAAAAGAATGTGAAAATTCAAAGAAAAAGATATTGCCCAGTTAGCACCAGCAACGCACAGTATTTTCAGTGGATGGCCGTTAAAGGTGTTATCTATAAAGGCAATGCCTCGGAAAATTAAATATTGCATTGCTCCCAACCGGAAGGCATTCGAACATATAATCAAAAACTGGCTCAATACCAGGATATTGGCATAGAATGATGAACGCAAATATCCGAGGGGGATGAAAAACGTCAGAGGAATCTCACTCTGTCGCATCACAGTAAGGCAGTTCGCAGTACTCAGCATTGCATTTCGAATTGAAGGCAATTATGCGATTTGCCAGGCAGGCTCCAAACAACAGACAAAGTAAGCTGTGAAGAGTTTCAAGCACAATTTCTGTGTTCTGCTTGCGGCCGAGGTAGCTCTAACTAATAGAAGTATCGATCGTATCAATGATGCCTGAACACACTCAGCCCAATCACTCATTAGAGACTGATGGTTGGAACATGTAAAAGAAGATTCGAACTTCGTGCCCCGGACGACGATCGACTTAAGTAGAAAGGTAGCTGATCTGTTCACGGAGAGTTGTCCTAAACGATATGAACTAGGAAGGATGCCGCGGCATTTGTTTGCCTGATTTGCAAAATGATGACGTTTTGTTGTTCTCGAATGTCTACTTTGATGAGAAGAACCGCTGACACTGAATTTTAAGGGCACACACTAATAATTGTTGTTTGTTAGAGGGCGGCTGAAAGTGGTTTCTTTCGGCATTCTTCCTTCATAACACAAATAAACAAATACGAGACAAATAATCACAGCGAATGATTTGCATGCATACCACCTGTCATTAGGGGGGTCCGAAATGTATTAAAGTTGTCCGAAACCACGGGAACCGGGTTTTTCCCATAGGCCCTTTCAATACCTTTCCAAAATGGTGCGGCAATCGAAATTTTAAAGAACTTTCACCTTGCCTCAAATCGATTGAAAGTTTATCAAATTTAGCCAATTTAGTACTTTATGAACGTTCCCTTATAACTATGGCCCTCAGTTTTATGGGCAATAGGCTGTGCTGGCGACCTTATTTGCGAAGAAAAAAATTGCAGCGAACATCACAAAATGTATTATAAATTATAATCTATTTCAAGAACGAAACGAAAAGATCACATCATGACTTTGTACCGTATGGATTGCAATATATCACGTAAAGTATCACATGTCATATTCCCAGGATAGGAACCGTTCTGGTCTATGTTTGCCCACATGTGCCCTGGAACGCTAGGTCTAGAACGCAGATGCTATGGTCTTCCTCTGGAAGTCTGGAAACTTGCGTCGGTGGAGCTCCACCCCCTGCAGCAGGAACTCCCTGGTCGTGTCGTCCTTCGTCAGGATCTCCATATAGTCGGTGACGAGTTTGACCCCGCGCTCGGCCACGTCGTTGGTCACCTTCACCGTGGTGACGAAGGCGACAGTCTCCTGATAATCCGGGTCCTCTGACCACGTCTCGGGTCCGCTCTGCAGCCAGCTGGTCCCGGTTTCGAGCAGCATGAACAGGGTCCAGCTGTTAGGCCAGAGCAGGTCCACCAGTTCAGTGCCCTCATCTACGTCGGGGAAGTCCGGGACTCCCAGCTCGAAGTCATCCGGGACGCGGAACGTCTGCAGTCGCGCCGCCAGCCGCGACTTTTCGTCGACATCCACCTTGTCGCTGAACAGCGAGAAGACCACCAGCCCCTGGGTCAGGTACCAGCCGTGCCTCCGGAGGACCTTCAGCGCTGTGTCAGCCACGTCACGGTCCACCGCCCTGTATCGCAGTAGCTGTTTCACGAAGTGGAGGTCGTTGACTGGAGCATCTGCCCCGATAGCCGCCTTCAGGAACTGCGGGACGTACAGCAGGCAGTTGAGCTGGACGACCCTGCGCAGGGCGGCGATGGTGGCCTTGTCGTACCCCAGGGAGGCATGGAAGGCGTACAATATACGCCTTCCAGGAACGTCCCACAGTTCCTGAAGGCGGCTATCGGGGCAGATGCTCCAGTCAACGACCTCCACTTCGTGAAACAGCTATTGCGATACAGGGCGGTGGACCGTGACGTGGCTGACACAGCGCTGAAGGTCCTCCGGAGGCACGGCTGGTACCTGACCCAGGGGCTGGTGGTCTTCTCGCTGTTCAGCGACAAGGTGGATGTCGACGAAAAGTCGCGGCTGGCGGCGCGACTGCAGACGTTCCGCGTCCCGGATGACTTCGAGCTGGGAGTCCCGGACTTCCCCGACGTAGATGAGGGCACTGAACTGGTGGACCTGCTCTGGCCTAACAGCTGGACCCTGTTCATGCTGCTCGAAACCGGGACCAGCTGGCTGCAGAGCGGACCCGAGACGTGGTCAGAGGACCCGGATTATCAGGAGACTGTCGCCTTCGTCACCACGGTGAAGGTGACCAACGACATGGCCGAGCGCGGGGTCAAACTCGTCACCGACTATATGGAGATCCTGACGAAGGACGACACGACCAGGGAGTTCCTGCTGCAGGGGGTGGAGCTCCACCGACGCAAGTTTCCAGACTTCCAGAAGAAGACCATAGCATCTGCGTTCTAGACCTAGCGTTCCAGGGCACATGTGGGCAAACATAGACCAGAACGGTTCCTATCCTGGGAATATGACATGTGATACTTTACGTGATATATTGCAATCCATACGGTACAAAGTCATGATGTGATCTTTTCGTTTCGTTCTTGAAATAGATTATAATTTATAATACATTTTGTGATGTTCGCTGCAATTTTTTTCTTCGCAAATAAGGTCGCCAGCACAGCCTATTGCCCATAAAACTGAGGGCCATAGTTATAAGGGAACGTTCATTAAGTACTAAATTGGCTAAATTTGATAAACTTTCAATCGATTTGAGGCAAGGTGAAAGTTCTTTAAAATTTCGATTGCCGCACCATTTTGGAAAGGTATTGAAAGGACCTATGGGAAAAACCCGGTTCCCGTGGTTTCGGACAACTTTAATACATTTCGGACCCCCCTAACCTGTCATAAAGGTGATTAAATCAGAGCGCTAGGGAGACAGCGTTACCATTATCACTATGTAAAGATCCAACAAAATCAATCTTAATCAGCTTATAAAAGTTGATAAGTTATTTCTGGTACACAAATCGGCTTAGCGTATTATGTGCCCTCCCTTGATCACAAAGATGACTGATAAGTAAAAACAAAAACGCAATGTGTGCGCTTAGCATTGAATACCGACTACTATTTATCACGAGCAAACTGCAGAACAGCAATTGTTCCGATCAACTGAAAAAATAAGTATACCTTAGTCTTTGAAAAAGAGTTTGGGGTCAGCAGCATCCAAAAAGACCAAGCCAAAGTATGCGCTCATGCCCAATCGCAGATGGCTCGAGATGCAACTAGTAATTGGATTTGAGGCCCCCTGTCCGCTACCGAAAGTGTTACCGAAAGTCCAATATAACTTAGCTGTAAGAGAAGCATGAATATAATGACAACAGCGTACCGTGCAGCCTGTTGACCTATTTTGCCCCGTTCACCGTCGCTTGCTGGTAGTCGCGTTTCTTTTTCTTACCCTCAGCAGTTGACACTGTATGACTGCCCAAATGAGGCTTTTCAGTACAGATGTATCCTAAGCAATGACGCTTCTGCCTTCTGTCAGAAGTAAAGAAATGGCAGTCAAATAGAGCGGGTAAAGTAAAGAGACCTCGGTCCATTGGAGCAGTACTCACCCAAGGCGATCATGTAGGGCGGGTAGAGCAGGCAGACCTCCGTTCGCAGACTGTCGTTGATGAGTCGCCACGCCACAGAGACCGTATTATCGTCGGCGTTCAGGTCCTGTGTGTACTGCAGCAGAGGCCTGCAACAGTGCACGTTTTCAGGTACTGCAGCAGAGGTTTGAAACAGTGCACCTATACAGAAATACAAACGACTGTGAACGTGATAAAGATGCAGTGCTGCTGCTGGTGCTACTGCTGCTTCTGCTGCTGATGCTTGAGAACTCGAGCTGCGTTTGCCATCGGCATACCATATGCATATCAACATGCAAATGACCACAAATTAATCCACCGACGCATACGCAATGTTACCAAAAACAGCAGTTAATGTGAATTGTCACCCCCATGTAGTTCGTCGCCTGCGCTCACGGTTACCCTGAGTGGCCACTCGGGCGGCGTCGGTCGGCCGCCGCCGGGCAGACCGGCCCCACCAGGTTCCGGGGATCGCCGCTATTGTTCTGCTGAATATCTGATTTGACTTGGCGTTACCGTTCGATTTGGTTTGGTCCGACCATAATCCATTCAGTCTGGCCCTAGAGCCGATCCAAAGCCGAGGATTTTCGGTGACGCAAACGAATCCTATCTATCCTGGTTTGAAATGATGCGATGCCGCATTTAGACACAATGGTTGTTTCTTGTGTCGTGGCTTCAGAAAAGCCATGTCTATTATTATTGCAATATGGTGGTGCTCCTTTGAAACGCAGCGAAGCGATTGAGAAAAGCCTTTAAGAACATGAAGTAAAATGCTGGGAGCACTATTGAAAAGTTTAAATATACCCATTGCCTTGACAGAAATAAGTTCTGACCACAATTTATTTCCAAGGGGGGGGGGGCGCCCGGACTACAGTGGTCATCGGCGTATTTCCATGAATATGATATAAAATATCATAATGATGTTAATGGTTTACTACTATCATTTCTTTGTTATTGAGCACCCCAAGTTTAGTTTGAGGGAACTTGCCATTGTATGGCAACTTTACACCCGCCCAAATGCAATTAAGGCGGATAACTGCGCTAAGCACACAGCACTGTCGAGCCTCCGCATACGTGCCAATGTTTGTTTTTTCTTCTAAGTCTGCCGAATGATCACAAAAACAAAATACAGAAAAGCTCTTGCAAAATATCAATGGATAGAGTCGCTGGCATGTCGAGTTGCCATTTCTTTGGAGCTTAAAATACCTGTCCAGTATTCCATCTCGTGGCCAAGTCCGTCTTTTCACATAAGAGCAGCATATAGCTACCGAGCACGCGAGATTGGCCCAGAGAAATCTGACGATGTCCGTTTAGAGAAGCTCACTATTGGCGATCTCTCCCAGTCACTCGGCGTTCCCCCTACCAGACTGGGACCATGCACGAATGGGGCTGCGGTGTCGCCACCTACGTATAGAGAATTGTTCAACTTGAAACCACAAGGGGGCTAGCTGCTAGTGTGCACTGTGTGTGGTCATTCATCCCTGCTTTTATCTTAGTATGCTACCGATGTCGGTTTACATCGGCTTGGAATTTGGAAAAACACCTGACTGGTGAAATCATAGACTAGTTTCACAAATGAATACAGAAATATATATAATGGTAAACTTCGTGAACCACTATGATTGCATCAGGTGGCTTTGACTATTTCTCGGACAATTTACAGCAAATTAAGTTAGCATGCAACGATAAGTTCACCACAAATATATGCTGATTGAGAATAACGACCTTAGCTGGGTCTCTCCCAAACGCCTTAGGTGGGTCGCCCACTCAACAATTGGATATTGCTTTTGAACGATGCACCTTATAACAGAGTAAGCCTGAGCAAGATCAGGTACCCAATCTCCACCGCTAGTGACAAAAGATAAACATAGATTGCCAAGGTGTGATGCGGAGCATGTCAATGATTTCCAAAAAAAATCGTGTAGCACGTCAAAAGGTTGCTCGGTAAATAAAGAATATCATGCACGCAGTAGAACAGTATCACATAGCCACACACCCGTGGGTCGTAAGGCTGATACGCGGCCGAACAGTCACACAGCTAATAGGTTCGTCACACATGTGAAGCAGCCAGTCACACAGTCACCTGTCACGGAGTCTCTCACCTGTAAGGCTGGTACACTACCAGGCAGCAGTCGAGGTTCTCCAGCAGGTAAAACTCGCACTCCAGAATGTGGTTGTTCCGGTACGGAAACTCAGCGGCATATGCGTACGCCAGCTTGTTCTTCACTGAAAGAAAATAAATAACAGCACGCATTAGCATCCCGGGAGTATGCATACTGAACGGCGATTTCGGTACGCGACGACAAATTCAGTACAATGATAATTTGAAAGTATGATAATTTGAAAGTATTTCTGGGCATCCGGACTGCAGAGGCCACTGGCTCCCAAAGATTCGGTATAACCGCATACACGTTAATTCCCTATTCCCTATGTTCATTCTAGTTTCTTCGCATCAGTTAAAATCAAGCCTGAACTTGGTCTTCTTATCCTGAGCCTGAGAGCCCAAACTTAAAACAAGCGTTAATCAGACACTCACCAACCGTCTGGCACGTGTTGATGAGGCGACTGTTGGAGATGACTCCAAACTCCTCCACTTTGGAGGCGAGGAACACACAGGTGGGCGCCAGCAGCAGCGGGTCCACACACCGAAGCGAGTTGTGTGAGTAGAACCGCTTCAGGTACACGGTGGCCGTGGCTATCACCTGCTGGCGCAGCTTCAGCTGTTCGCCCAGCACCTGGATGACTGGAGGCAGAGAGACGCGACGGTACCGGTGGGTAAGCTGGAGTGACTGGTAGGTAAGTGGTAACGGACACAGAGACGTAGAACGGTGGTTGGTTATCGAGATGGCTGGCTAAGAACACATAACATGGCAGTAGCTGAACACATACGACGGTGGTAACTGGTAAGTGGGCAGTGAACACAAAGGAGGTAGGTGAATTACACATGTATCACAATGTGCAAGGTCCTGTTTTCCGTTCTGCGACACGAAAGCCGATGTAGCTAGAGTTTCGACCGCTTAATTTGCGATTATAGGCCGGGAACGATTTAGCGGCGGAAAATCGGGATAAGCGACTAGGTTAGTAAAACATACATTCCAATGAGAGGAGCAAAAGGTGAACTGCACATAGGTGAGCTGTGCGAGTGTGCCTTTAGCCACTGATTACTGTATCGATCTCCAGGCATCATAATAAGCATTACTACTTACAGTTGGCAAAGAAGATCATGACCTTCTGGTACTCATCTTCTGTTATCACTTGTAAGTCTGCCTGGCGGTTGCTGGTTAATTCCTGTTTGTCCAGGACCCATTCTTGACTGAAACGGACAAAAAAAAATGACTGTTCAAAGGCATTTCTGGGACCGAGTAGAAGCTATTATACATCTCTAGTAAGTATACATCTCTAGTAAGTAGAAGTACACATCTCTATCCCCCAGAAAAAAAGTTAAAAATAGTGATACAGGAACATAGACAATGGAGGATATCCTCCACCCAGGTAGGGGAGGGGCGTATTTGTTACACCAGTCAGTTTTGTGCGTGTGTAGAAAAGCGGCCGTGCGCAGTGCTACAAAACTTGGTATAGCTTATGAGCGCATTGTGTGTAAAAGTTTAGACCCTAGTGTGTCTCATCTCTCTTACCCTGTATCTCTTAGTTCACCAGGTCAAGATATGTGACCATGCCTCTAAAAAAGTTTGTGATTCTGAAAAAGTTTGGAAGGTGGCCGGGAGGCCCACCACCTGCCGGGTTAACCAAGAGAAATATGACGTCCATAACATCAATGAAAATTGGATCAAAAGCTTAGTGTCAAAAAGTTATTGCAGAAAAACGCGCTCAGAAAACGTAAACTTTTGGGAGTTTTTGCCCTCTCAAGGCTAAAGGTTAAACCACTAACCCTATATCCAGACTGGAAAACATCCATACACTACGCCGGACGCCCGTGAGACCCTCTTGCGCCGAAATTCGGCGCAAACGATTTTGTGCTGAAATTCCTGCATGATCTGCGCCGAAAATTGGGTGCCTATGTGTGTCAAAATTAAGCCACTTTTATGTAATGAACATGTGCACATCAACCGATCAAGGCTATACATCAACCACACAGGGCGTTCCTCCCCGGGGCCTTGGACGCTCTCCCAGGTTTGAGCGTCCGAACAAGTTTTTTTCCACGGAAACCCAATGCCTCAATACGCTTAGCGCACTGTAGCGTCGTGCCATGAAACAAGGTCGGAGTCGGAAGTTCCGGGGCCACGAAAATCTACGCAGAGGCGTGTTTGAGACTGGCGGGAGTCAGCGAGGCCCGAAGGCCGGGCAGCTGAGCAGCACGTGCTCCGGCACATCAGCCTCTTCTCGGCACACGGCACAGAGCGCCGCGGGGCACCGCTTGTGTGGGCACTGCTGGCATGCCGTGGAGTGGAGACAACCGATTCGGTGCACACCGCACGTACTGGAGCGAGCGGCCCCAATGGCCCGCCCTAATCTGGTGCGGCGTCATGAAATGGCGTCCTCTCGGTCCTCTCTGGGGATAGGGAGCGGCGGCGTGCTCCCGAGGAGTGGCTTGAATAGTAACTCGGACCAGTTGTCGCGCCATTGCTGCGAGGCCGCACGGCCGCACAATGAACAGCCGGTCAGTGAGCATGTGTTTGAGGTGTTTGAGGTGGCAGGGCGGCTGCTTGTTTCGCCAGGTCGTCCTCGCTCTTATTCCCCTTAATACCGTAGGGCAGGAGCCCACTGCAGTACCTATTATTTATCAACGCTCGGCGATGTTCAGCAAGGTCTTCCATACCTATCTCCGTGCCGAGGGTTGAGGCCTCACCGGGGCGGGAAAGGCTCGAGGCAGCTTGCCAGCTTGGGCACGCGATGACCAGGGTGGGGACATCTCATCCTGACACCTCTCCAAGGATGCCTGCAAGCCGCAAGGTGAATCTGCTGCTGCTAGATTGACCTGCATGCTGAATAAAATCAGTAACCATCTTTCGACAAAAATTATGTGGCCGCCCTGCACTGAAAAATTCAGCTGCTGACATGAGCTGAATTTGGCAAATGCAAAGTTACGGCAGACGTGCACGGAAATTTTTGGTGCAATGCTGCCACTGCGCCGGACATATTCGGCATAACATGCATTTTTTTCCAGTCTGGCCCAATTGGTCGAATCTGAGAGGCGAGAGCACTTTTCAGAAATAACTTTGAAAGAAAAATAGATAGGATAGCAGGGACATCATTCCTGAGGTAGGTAGGTAGGAAGGTAGCTAGATACCTACCTACCAATCCTCGAGCAACAAACCCCATTTTCTACTTTGACTTCAGCCATGACAATGATGCGCTACAAAACAAAATATCTGGAATCCAACTTACTAGTGGGAGCTTTGCCAGAAATTGCCCGCCATTTCACCGCCTCGTCCAGCTTTTTTTTAATAACAATGGATCCAGTTGTTGTTGTTTTGGGTTAGGGAGCGTAGCAGCTTGGCTTTCGCGTCCAATGCAATGGATCCACCTCTTATACGGCCTTGGGATCCACTTGGGGGATCCACTGCATGACTGCATCCCTCTCAGCAACAGCAAAAGTAAATAGAAAACAAACGCTAGGGTTGCTGGAAACCACTAGAAATTTTTATCTAATCGCATATCTTGCGTCATCAAAGTTAACAACTTCAAGCTAAGAAATTAATTTTTACAGTGAAAATTCTGCTAAAAATACATTTGGTCAATTGAATGTGGCAAAATTAGTCGTATAAAATTTTCGGAACATACGATGAATGTTGAGAACCTATTTTGCAGAGAAAAGTAACACGAATTCTCAAAGAGCCTGTGACGTCATTTAAGATATCAAATTATTAAGTTGTGCTAGTCGTATTTGCCGTATTTGCCTTTCATTAGCGGAGGGAGCGGAGGTGGCTCGCGGTGTGTAGGTGCGGTTGAATAATTTCTTTTATTTGGAATTTCAGGTGGCTAGAGTGGGAATTATGCGTTAATGGCCTGTTTCTGACTTTGAGGAATTTTATACATTTGACATCCATCACTAATTTAAGTGTGGGATTGCAAGATACTACTTTAAACTGTTTTTTCTTTGTTTTTAAAGGTGAAACTGGTTCAAGTTCCAGTTCTTGAGTATCAGATGAGATTACTGATTTGTTTGATGCTGCACGAGGCATGATTTATTTTTTGCCTCAACTTGTGATCAATTTCTTATAATTGTGAAAGGTACTTGGGAGTTATAAAACACTTTTTTAAAAGAAATTTTGTCCGAATGGATGAATGGGTGGCTATGGGCCCGGGTGCCCCGCTAGGCGCTAGGCAGTGCTTGTTGCGAATGACACCACGGACCCACCACCCCACCTTGCCCGAGCCCGGTTCACCGGTGATAATTTAAATCGAAAGTTTAACGTGCCGCAGGTCAGTTGGGCAAACTAGACCTTTGGAATCAAAATATGGAGGCATCAAAAGATTGATTCCTTATGACCATATTTGGGCATAAATGCAGACCATTTCTAACTTACCAATCACATAAAAATAAGAGAGTGTTTCAAGAAGGAGCATGCCTGATCTTGAACAGAAAAGCTGGAACTATCTCCCAAGCAAAATAATATTGCTCCTATCATAACAATTTGAATTATGTAGGTAGTGAAAGGCAATCAAGGAATTGATTCACTTTAAACAGATAATCATAATATTGATTCCCCATCAGCTGGCTAATCATTATTTTGATTCACAGGTAATGTTAAGAGATAGGCAACAATGACTTGCAGGAATACATCATTTATCTTGCTATTATTCTCATTTAGTGGTATCCTCAGCAGTCAGCACCACAACAGATACCTATACAGGGTGGGAATTCTCTTTTTTTTCTTGGTGTCTGAGTACAAATTTTCGGGGAAGTGAGTACAAAATTTCATGATGCAGTCACGGCATATCAAATATTAAAAGTGATGATTCAAAGTGATGTACCTAAGTATGATAAAAAAGGACAAATTCAGCACTGCAAACACTACTGACAACACTACTGAGAATTTGCCCATAAAAGACAAGTTGGTCAGCTGGATGAACATGATAGCGAAAACAAGGTATTTGATTAATAATAAAAATAGATATTCCTCAGTAGGCAGCAGTCAATCGTCCGCAAGTGAGCGAGCAGCGAGCACTCAGCAGGTGCCGAAGCCTCACGTGAATCAATTCAGAACAAGTTGCTCTTTGTTACACACACACACACAAAGAATACATTTCTGATCGTCGACGTTTCGCACGTAGCACTGCACCTACCGGCAATTACGTGCAGTGGTTGATTGATTTCACACGACCAATACGCCTTACGTGCCCGCGCCTCACACCAACACCACGCGCCTGCCTTTTGAAGAGCACTTTGCCTGTAGTTCCACCGCCTTCACTGAACAGCGGCCAATGCGCCATTGAGGAGCATGAGGGGTATGGGTTCTCTTTCACTGCGCGCTAGTAGCGCTCACTAACATAAAAAGCGCTTTCGGTTTCCATGGAAACTTGATAAACTTGTTTAGCTTTAATCACCGAACGCTTGACAGCCTTTGCCTCTCTTTCAGAAAAGAACATGGCATTGACTTCGGGCGACATCTATACTATTCCTCACGAGACTGCCGACCAGCGCCATCTAGCCAGGAAAACAAGAGAAGAGACTGAGAGCCACGAATGCGGACTTCTGACCAAGACGACCCTTTATAACATTTAATCCAGCTAATCAACGAACGCCGAGTTTTCGTAATACTCTATGGTTGATTTATGTAACTATGGCCGACATAAGATAGCTGCCGTCCAGTCGCGAGGCAGCGCTGCGCCAGTGCTCACGATCGCGTCGTACCCTGATGGATCCGTGTTTCAATCATTGCTTCTTTGCGTTGCTTCTGCTGGTATATATTGCGAATAATAATATATACTGAGACACGAACTCTTTTTTATCTTTATTAGCAAAAAAGGTCGCCATCGGGCAGCCAGCCACAGTGTACCTACTACAAAAACGGTCGCCGTCGGGCAGCTAAGCTCAATAAAAGCTGAAACAGACTCTTTCCGCAGTCAGGAAATCGCACGCGAGAGCCTATTCAAATGCATTAAAATCCTTCCCGCATCATTCGTATGCGGGAGGTGCGTACGATTGATGCGAGCGTGATTTAATGCATTTGAATAGGATCTCGCATGCGATTTCCTGACTGCGGAGAGTCTGTTTCAACCTTTACACCATAAAAAACAGCCACCGCCGGCTCACAAAGTCGCACAACACTACACAAACGGTCGTCACCGGGCGGTCAGCCATCAGCTGAACGAAAGGTCCCATCATAAATGCCACTGAGAATAAGAAGCCATGATGATGATGATGATGATGATGACGGCGATGGTTTGAGGTTTTTGGGCGTCCGGACTGCAGTGGTCATCGGCGCCCATAACACGACATTAGAAGATCACGTTATGATTATAAAAAAGAAAACGCAGGAGAAACTACTTAGATCCCAAATTAATACGCCTGAGCAGAAATATGTTTACCTACGCTCCTGGAGAAAATATGACGAACATCAACTACTCATCACAGCCTTCGCCTCATATGATTTGTACTTGTCATAAGGAACCAAGGACTAGCATGAAGACCATCTGTTCTAGAAGGTATCCCTGATAGTGATGTCAGTTACAGAAAATCTGAATACCGATACCAAACCAAATACCAACCAAAACCGTAGGAAAATACTGAGACCGAACCAACTAGGAAATATGATGGAAATACAACCTTTTAACCAAATTCACAGCCCCTTTCACATTAGCGAGGATCCATGATACAAACAAAAATACCAAACACATTTGGATTGAAATACCAAATACCAAGTCGGTATCGGTTGGTATCGTTATACCAAAAAATTGGTATCTGATTGACATCTCTAATCCCTGATATCAGCAGAATGGACCATATCTGGACTACATAAAGCTAGAGAAAGATTAAATAAACATAAAGCTAAACACTTGACACGTGGCTACAGGCCAGCACTGCGCTGGCCTACTCGCTGGTGAGGCACAGCCTCACCAGCTCGCGCCTGATGGCGCTGTATGCTGACGGCGTCAGGTGGACGCCGTCATCATCATACAACGCCGAGACCGGTGGAGCGGCGTTGGCGTCCGGCGGCGGCGGGCGTCCGGGAACCCACCCCGTGGCCCAGGCGACGTCCGGGACCGGCGCGCGCTGGGCCTCGGCGAGGGCAGCTCGGCACGCTGCCACCTCCCTCGCCGCCCTCTCCGCCTCCTCCAGGACCTCGGTGGCGACGGACGCCACGGCCCGCGAGGCCGTGAGTAGCCGGTTGGGTAGCAGGCCCTCCTCAGCCTCCTGGTGTAGATGACAGAACAGGGTTGGTTTTTAACTTGCAGAATACAGAAACTTTATGCACTCATGGAAAAGTCAAAAGCAATATCCCACTACGTTAATTTGCGGCCCACCGCCCACATAAACAGTGCTAAATCAAAACTTAAATATGTTATGGTAAGTGGAAAATATTGAACATTGTCAGCAAGCTTACTGATAAGTACGACAAGCACATACATTTCATGGCATACATACATTTACATAAATTACATTTCATACATACATAAATACATTTCATGCATACATTTCATACATTTCATCTATTCCGGTTTTTTTTTTTCAAATTTGTGTGACATTGCACTGCACATATTCGGTACATTATATTCCTTTCTTTTTTAATTCACAATGCATAAATGACTGAGACTTCATCACTTCTTCGACACTCACCAGCTGTAGGTGGCCTATGGCGGCTTGGAGGGCCGCTCGGCTGGTGCCGCGCCCCGGGGCCGTGTCGTCGGTGGCGGGGCGGGAGGAGGCGTGGCCGGGCGTGACACCCTGGAGCACGGCCGGGTCCGGGGTGGCGGTGGCGGAGCTTGGAGCCATGCCGGCGACATCCCGGCGCAGGACCGCCTCGACGTCCAGGAAGGCTGCCCCGCGCTGCCTGGCGACCTGCCAGAGGGTCAGGCTGAGGCCCCGGAACATGTCCAGGGCCTCCGCCGACAGGTCCCTCTCCGGCAGGACGCTTAGGATGACGGCGCGGGTGCCTGGGATCACCAGCTCCAGGGTGCTGAGCCAGTGCTCCATGCCGGAGACGACGCGAGCGGCGGCCCCGGCGGCGTCCTCGAGCAGAGGCACTGGTGCTCCCTGGACGCGGTCACCCCGCCTCGGGACGAGGGCCGGCCCGCCAACGCAGATGACTGCGAAGGAGGGCCAGACCCCGTCCAGAGCATGGGTGGCGGCGTCCAGACGACGCCAGTCCTCGCTGGAGCCGCCACCGAGGCCACCGATCGTGCCGCCGTCCGGCCGCACCCACTTGACGTCGAGACGGTGCCGCCCGATGTGCCGGGAAGCGTCCTCGGCGATCGGGTGCACGAAGGCGCGGATGGCGTGTGAGTTACCAAACACGGCCACCCGCACCTCCGCGCACAGCGCCGGCTGCCGTGTTGGCCGGTGGCCTCCGCGCCGGCTCCGGTAGGGCTCTCTGCCGGTACGCAGAACCAGCGACCGATCCCGAGGCCGCCCTGGAAACGTCAAAACAAGACACAAAGGTTGAAACCTCTGGAAAATAATCAGTTAGAAACACGTCGAGGAATATCGGGTCTGGTGTTAAGGTTCATGCTACATTGGGATGAGGGAATCGATAATCATACCATAGCACATGGTTAAGGTTTTACTCAGTATTCTTCGCCAAGTGCAGTAGAGTCAGTCATAGATCATACTTATCGCATTTGTTATTTTTTAGCCGTTGAAGGGGAGATGTCGGCGGATTGAGGCACATCAAAAACGTTTCCTCACATGTTTCCATCTCTCAGCGTGGCGGGCAAAATCAGCCACCCCAGGCAGCGGCGCGAGGAGCCGGATGGAATGATACATGAATGTACCTATCAAGGGCGATGAAAGCGGTATATCTGTGGAGGTTGCTCCAAGAGATACATTCATGTACCACGCTGCCCGCACTAGACGCAGCTTATTCTTATTCCGTAGAGAAATTATTGATGCCCATTTGCTGCACCGTTACTAAAAAAAAAAAAATTAACGCAAAAGCTACGTCTAGAGCCCGTCCAAAAGACGGACAATACGAATGAACAATGACCAATGCAGTGAACAAGGGTAACACATTACGCCACACACATTCACACGAACAGGCAGACATGCTGAAAGTGACACAGCATCATGACCCTAACAAGTGAAGTACAGTAACGCACCTGCATGCATCACTCACATGCCCTCCTCCAATCTGCCACCGCCCTTTCCAGCATACAACACCAGCATGTACACAACACACACACAAACAAGACACACACACGAGTATGACAATGCACATCTTATTCGGATGTATTCTACGCCCGCAAGACGATAATACGTCATGGGTATTGTAGATACTGAAACTGTCATGATTATTCACGTCTGATCCAGACGTAGTCTACGCCCGCAAGACGATTATACGTCATGGGTATTGTGGAACTGGATACTGAAGCTGTTATGATTATTCACGTCCGATCCCGATGTATTCTACGCCCGCCAGACGATTATACGTCATGGGTATTGTAGACACTGAAGCTGTCATGATTATTCACGTCTGATCCAGACGTAGTCTACGCCCGCCAGACGATTATACGTCATGGGTATTGTAGACACTGAAGCTGTCATTATTATTCACGTCTGATCCCGATGTATTCTACACCCGCCAGACGATAATACGTCATGGGTATTGTAGAAAAATGCAGTCGTAAGTACTAACGTCCGATCCGGATGTAGTTACTTGACAGTAACGGCCATTTCTGCTGACTCGGATTCCGAATGACAAATACCGGTAATATGTCACTGCTAGGAGGTATGTTTGCACTTCCTGTCAGCGCCAAGACTGCATCATACGATAGATTAGGATGCATGCGTTATAAGAAAGTAGTTCCTTAACTGTTTCTTGATTAACATTGCTCACTTTTTCGTCATCACATTTGAAAAAAAACTCGCCTCTTCTTATCAGGCATTGGTAATGTCCATGCTCCCTCGTTCCCCAATGTAATATGGCACCTACCAAATGATAAGCTTTATTTCCGCCTGGTATACGAAGTCCCTCTAGAGGACAATCAAGTGCAATTTTTTGACGCCTGTCATAATCCGGACGTTGCATATTCAGTACCATGACTTCAGGCTCACAAGAGATGGATGTCGTGTGTGCCCCTTCACGCCCAGAACATTCATCGTTGCCACAACTGAAGTCGTCTAAAATTGTTGCTGAGCAGTAATCACTCAAACATTCATACACGGTACTTCTTTTATTGCACCAAAGATGTAACTGATGCTGATTTACATGTTTGTCTGATGAGTATGAGCAATGTCTGCACTTCAATGTTGTTGTTGTATCTATTCTAGCGCTGTCGATATTCATTCCGCCTTCTAGGAATACCTTAAAAATGCATTCTAGCGCCTCCGACGAGTCCTGTTGTTCGTCATTATGGAATATCTCAAACTTTTTTGCAAGGATACCCTTGATGGTTCCTGGATCGGAACATATTTCGGAATTATAGCAATCACGCAAATTGTTTATCAATAAATTTGCATAATGATCATGGCCCGAGCCACCTCTTTTTATCCTCAACAAAGGAAGAATTTGGAGAACAGTTATAAGATAGCAGTCGTTACGGCGGTTGATCATTCCCCTGGGAGTTTGTTGCGCATGAAAAAGAACGGCATCCGAAAAGGAATACTGTTCAGCATTATCATTGTCATCGCCACCTGGAGACATATTAGTAGTACTCATCTCGGAAAAACGTGTGTCGTCTTCAACAGCAAACATTTCCGATGGCCGGGCCTGGGAAGTCGGTGATCCAACACTACGTCCACTTTCATTGCGCTTATCACGAAGCTCTATTTCGTTGTGCTCCTTCTCATGCCTTAAATCAATCAGTGGTGATTTGGCAGCTTCAGGCTCTTTCGGGGGTTTAGAAACGTTCTGCTTGCTTTTTATAAACGTGAGGATCGAACTCTGCTTCCACTTTGTCACTGCTGCTAGTTCCACTGAATGCCCAGATGCAATTGGCGAATCTAAATCATCTGGGTCGTTATCTGAGTCATTAACATCTACCTGTCGTTGAGATCGTAGTTGCTGTGGTTCACTTTGTTCAAATGACACCTCTTTGTCAGTTTGCGCTCGAGCCTGAACAAAATCATCAACTTCCATAGCATTATCATCTGACGCAACATCAGCATGTTCAGAGGCAGTTTCACCAATGCTCTGCGACATATGATCTTCACCTGAAGAACTATGAGCGTGTACATCACTAGAAGCGTGGACAACATCTGTACGGAGATTCGAATCTGTGTTCACTGTACTATCACCCGCAAGACCTTCATTGTTATCTGATGTCAGCACGGGGGAGCCCACGCTACGATCCTCTTGCGTAACATCATCTGACGTGGTACCTGCTTCTCTGGGCTGTTGGTCCAAATGGTAAGATGTCATAAATTTCACTTTCGATGGTTGATGCTTACGAAGGTAAGCAGGGGTTTTCTTGCCTCGTTTTTTAAGTACACCATAATGAAACTTTGACCACTCCTCTTTAATGGCATCAATTGGTAGATCATGTAATTCAAGTCCTAGCTCACGGATGTAAACTTCTTTAGCACACCTGTCCTTCTCCAGCGGTTTCAGTTCATTAAACTTGCCACCGAATCTGTTTTCCGAAAGATCCTTGACTAATTTACCTGTTCTTTCCGTATCAGACTGTGATCGACATAGCAACACTGCTATTTCCATCAATTCAATAACATCTGGAATACTGACGTGCAGCTGACTCGAGGGCCTTAGAAAATCATGTAGAATGAATCCGACCGACAATATCTTTACACCATTGTCGTCTGCATACCATTCAGCACGTAACTGAATTTGACCAGATACGCGGTTCTTAAAAACGATATACTGGTCTTCAACGCACCTGCATTCTTTTTCGTGCCGGCACATGGAACTATGTTTCCCTGGAAAACGTATGTTACTGTGAGTACAGAAGAACTTGACTACTTCGCGAAGCTCCTTATTCCTGAATTGTTTCAAAGCCAACTTGTCGTGCAAAGGAAATGTGGGAATATCGAAAATTTTCATCATTTTATCTTCAACCTCTGTAACGTCCAAAAAGGCGTCAAGTTCATCAAGAAGAGCTTGGGCTAGCTGAGCCTGCCTTTCCATAGCTCGTTTGAGGGCGTCTTTGAGTGTTGAATGGTAACTGCTACCGATTCTGATGAAATACTAGGACTTACTCCACAAGGAGATCGAATGGGTCGGAGCGCTTTCAATATGTATTATACATATCGTCGTCAGCGAATCAATAACGGGTCGAATCGAGTCGGGTATCGAAGAGGTTCGGGAGCTGCGCCGCAGAGCGATCACATACTATTCGAATTATGCATTAACGAGAATAAAAAATGCTACCGATTCTAGTACTCCGTTTATGAGAAGTGACTAATAAGCTCACGTTTTCGAAGTCGAATCCGTTGAACCGTCCTTTACGGAACTCTTTACCGTGTTTCCGTATCAGAGGATTGGATTTGCCGTCGCAAGCTTCTTGGAGAGCAAGACGACACGCATCTATCGCTTTACGATCATCCCACAAAGAATAAGTAGCTTTCTGTGCAGCTTTACTGACTTTCTTGACAATATCTAAGACATATAACAGCACCAGGGCGGTAGGAATGAAATCGATATCGCACAAGACATCTAGGGCTTGAAGTTTATCTGGATCGTTATCACGGCGCCCATCATTCTCTATCGTCATAACTACATTCCCATACTGTTTGATAATTGAATTAATCGCTAGTACAGTGTACTCAATAAATCTCGTGTCAACATTTCTATAGAGAACAGTAAATGTGGGATCGATCCTTCGAGCCAATCGCATAAGTTTTGATGACCGATTAATTGCCCCTACCACTTTATCAACATTTGATCTGATGAAGACTCTTGCCCACTGAAATTCGTCTTTTCTAAAAACACTGTCAGTCCATAATTCTACCTTATGGGCTCTGTCAAGCAAATGCAGAAATGCGTTGTTATTGAATCTTTCACGCCATCTTACCGCTACACCGGACTGTTGTCCTGCATAAACAGCTTCTTTATCAGAGCTCATGGAGAAGCACATTGTACCGACACTCCGAGGCGAAAGATCTAGGACTGATTTTGTCAGGACATCACATATGTGTTCTAGACAGCCAACAGCGTCCGACTCGTGCGTGACACCTTCCGCTGCGTCAGCCTCCGAAGCCCTATTTCTGATAACATCGACTGACAAGTTTGTTACCTTGGGAGCACCATCCACGTCAATAAACCTTATATTAACTACCTGTCTTGACGTTCTTTCAGCCGTGACTTTGTCAGCACTAATGTGGAAGTGTCTTAGACGTCCTGTTGTCGGATTTACAGATTTTAAAAAACTGCAATGTGACTTTCGAAGCACTTCATATAAAACGTCTATTGCAGAGGCAGCAGCCTTACGACTTGTGTTCCAATCAATGTGTGAGAATGTTTCTTTTGTAGACATCATATTTGAGAACAATCTATTCATAAGTGACTCAAATGCAGCATAAGAATGCCCCAATAGCAGGTTATGATATGCAGCCATCAGCATGTCCCTTGTCAGATTATCATCTAGCCGTTTATGCTTCTCGCACTGTAAACCAAACAGGCTTTGTATTCTGTCACGCTCTTCAGGCACCTGCATGCATGCCTTATGAACAGCAGTGGCTGCATGCCTAGCGATAATTTCAAGTCTATTCTTTTTTAGCGAAACGCCTTCCGTTGTCCAACGCAGTGCTTTATGCTGGCCTCGCATGGCCGAAACAGTTGCCTTATTAGCAATGCACGTTGAACAAAATCCTAATTCCTCTGAGCCTGTACCCCGAGTGAGAAGCCATGGAAACTGTTTGGCAGTGTCAGCACTTCGTGCCTTTGCTGCTCCTGGAGAAATTTTTTTTCTCAAGCTCAGTCATCTCTTTCCTGAGAGAGGCGCGCGAAACAAATTCAGAGTCGTGACTATCGATTTTCCTAGATAGCATACGAATTTCACACAGTATGTCTCGTAACATCTGGGATTCAACCAAATCGTCACCCATGACACCTGGCTGCTGAGCACCACCTTCACTTATACACTCAGCCTGCTGCAGCCGTACGGTCGGTGTCGACGTGCTCTGCGCTGTGTCCCGTTCTTGTGTGGTATCTGTCACAGTTACGGGGGGGCTCGTGCGGCCGGGATAATTATCACAGACTTGATTAATTCGATCCGGAGATGGGTGCTCGTGGTATGATGATTGAACGGAGTCTCTCTCAGTTGTCATGACATCGTTTCTCTCACTTGCGATAGTATGTATCAGTACACTAGGGGATCCCTGTCCCAACGGTGTTTCGGCATTGGCAGTAATGTCAGGCTCGTTGTCAGTGATAATGACAGTGACTGGCTCATTGTCATCGTTTTCCCTTGTAGAACGAGATTTTACAATAGCCTTCTCTATGAGATAGCCAGTAACACCACGGGGATTTTTTCTCATAGCATCTAAGTAAGCTTCTCTATGTTTCGATTTCACATGACGTGGGAAATTCTTTGTTGAAATTGACTTAGGGCATAAATGACATGTTACTGTTCCTTTAACATGTGAGCGTGTAGCGAACCGTATTCGTTCAGAAGACTTCCTACTAGCCTTACTCTTGACGACAGGTCTCGGACGTTCATCGTCATGCACCTGAAAAGAAAAAGTACTTTGTTTTACTGCAAAAGAAAGTTAACACTTACCCCTTATCCACTAATGTTTTATATACACCTAATGGGGGGGGGGGGGGGGGTCAACCAACTGCGTAAAGGTTTGGTGGTGGGGGGGGGGGGGGCAGGGCACTGCAGGGGTGGTGTCTACTCAACAACCTCTGCTCAGCGTCGAATAAGCAGAGAACCACAACAATGCCCCTTAACCCTCGCCCGCACATGGGGGGTTGCCACCCCCCCCCCCCCCCCAGGTAGTTTTTCTGCTCTGCACTCAACATTTTTAGAGCTAGAAGCCTGTAGCTGCTCCCCTATCCTTTCTTGATGTCCACTGAAAATTTCAAGTTTCTGTGGTTTTTGGTTTCGGAGATATGACCTTGTTCTTCAGGTCATGTCATGACCCAAATGACAAATACCCAATATCTTGCGTTGGCTATGGGTCTTGTGAGCTTTTGACACCTTGATTTCGGCCTTTTTTGCCAGTCTTACCTCCCACCTATCATGAAACATGTTGTTCGACGATGTCAGATGTCAAGGTCAGGGTCAAGGTCAACCTAGGTCATCTAAGAATATTGCGTTTTAGGCAAGCTGAATTTACTTTTGTTAAGTTTCTTTGACTGTATTTTTGGTAAAAGCTTCTCATTTCATGATCTCATGTAATATGGACACCTAAACAATCGGTGCACACATCAGTATACACACAGACACACACAGACATACAACACATATAATTGACCTTGACCTAACTTGACCTGAAATGACCTCAGCAGCAAAAACCTGGTCGGATAGTGTGACAAAGAGGTTCTAGCTGGCCTGGCACCAGAAAACAGCATCGTCATCGGTATTTGATAAGCAGCGCACTTGATATCCAACGGTGACCCAAAACAGCAACATTTTTTAGTTTGACCTGACCTGGAAGGTCAATGACTGACCTGAGAAGGTAAAACTGGGTATCATTGGATTCGTCTCTTCCCAAAGAATCTTTTTGATCTTTACCGTGAAGCTCTATCTCCAACAGGAACGAAATGGCGCGGGGGGGGGGGGTGGCAACCACACCCCCCCATGTGCGTTCTAGGATGGGAAAATGGCATGTGCGGGCGAGGGTTAAAGCTAGTTTTCATATCAAAATATTTAAAGGGATAGGAAGTTAGAAATTCCTCTAAAAAAAACGGGGATGAGGGTGGAAAACCGCTGGTCAGATAGGCCCAAAAAGAATGAACAAATAATTAATATTGATAACATTCATTTCTATACAAATGTGTTAATGCAGGATAAACAGCGACCATCCACGCAAATACTTTTTTCTGTTTAATTGAGAGTGCAAAATTGTTCTTAAAAACTGTAGGTGAGAGTGCAAAATAATTTTCATTTGGATGTTGCTTCCCACCCAAATCAACAAATTTTGAAACACTGTCTCAACTCAAATCTTATGTTAAGGTGGGATGGTCACTTTAAGGAGTGAGTAAGCACATGCATCAAATAAATGTTTGCAGCCCAGCTATAAAGTAGAAACACAAACCTGACACCAGCTGTCAAATGTCAACCTGCCACCAACCATCATAAAAAGCCCAATTATCATGGCATCATTACCATCACATGCAATCACTTACAACTCAATGATGATTTCACATGGGATTCTCTGCAAGGGAAAAGTGAAGTAAAATCTTATTTATGTGAGACTAAACAACTTTCAAATTTCACATAAAACTGATAAAAGCATTAAGTGCACCTCAATTTCATACCGAGTGGTGCCCAGTGGTACCTATTTCATTATCGTCTACAAAAGCAGCACCAAAAGGTAGGTACCTACTGATTTTCACAACACAAACAATGACACTTGATCCAGTAGTCTATCTGGATAAACAAAAACACCAAGAAATTGAGAACATACAATTCCGGACATCCAAAGAGGAAAAAAATTTGAGACCCACATATTTGTATTTCATTTTGCTATGGAAATGTCTAATAGCATTCATAAAAGTCAATAATGCTTATCAGAATCATGGAAACAAACTAACGTTTTGACTCATTACTGCTGATGCTGAGGTTGTTGGGCTGCCACCTTGCCCTGCATCTGTAGCCCTATAAACACAGGGTGGGTGGGAGGGCGTAAGAGCACTGGTTGTGGTCCTGAATGTTTTGGTTTGGTAAGTCTGGCATAAAGTAACACAAAGATACTAGATAGCATGGCATGGGCATCACATCACTTTTCAAATTTGTACGCAAGATTAATTATTAATTTTAGGATAGCGTCTAGCAAAGCCATTCTTGCCAATTGCCATGCACTGTCATAAGATTAATGTCAATGTTAAAATTCTGAAATTATTGTTATTGGTAGCACTGGCGCCCTACCAAGCCTATAGAAAACGATGCCCATGGATCATGATGCCGATGTCCGTTCTGTGTTCACCATTACAGACAACAAACACAAAGACATGTCAGAATTAAAAATCATGCAAATCCTAGCCTTCTCAGGTCGCGAGGTTTACATGTAAGCACATTGCACACCAACCCGAACTGGATGAGATTGCAACTTTTCGATTTCATAAATCGTAGGTACCTATATCCTACATACTGCAAGGTAAGTTAGGTACTTACAACAATGAACAAATCACTCAGCAATGATCGTCGAGCGACGCCGGCAGCAAGACAAAGAACCCTCGCTGGCGGGGGTGTCCCTCCCCCGGCGCCGGCTTGTTTGCGTCGCTTCCATGCTTCCATATCCTCGGGCTTTGGCCTCGGGCCGAGCCTCAGGCTCCCCACCCTCTGTCCTCTCCCTTTACTTGTACTCGCCTCGCTCTTTCCCTGGCGGTCGCGGGCTCATGCCCTGATACAAGCTAGATGCGGCTGCTAAATTAAGGACTTCATTTGGAGAGGCGCAAAAATATTTGAAGATCCCATCTCAGTATACGTTTTCTCATCAACCATGCATACAATGACATCAAAACGCCGTGTGCTAAATCTACAAAGAATTTGCTTTGAATTTCAGTAAAAAAAATAAAAAAACTAATTTCGTTTTCAAAATTTTTTTGGAGTTTGAATAAGTTGTGACCGTGAAAAAATAGATATTTTAAAACCGAAAATTTTGCTACAATTTCTTTTTCAAAGGGTATAAAATGCCAAAGATGATTAGTTAGGGCTTTGAAGATTTGATTTTTGACAATTTTGTTACATGTTACTGTCTAAACATTCATAATTTGTTGAATAAGATGAACTCTCAAAATTGCTCGGTTTTAGGCTCCGACCCCAAGAACGTCAATTTTGCCAACTAGGCGAAATCTCACCAAGGCATTTACGACGCAGATCTTAGGTATTTGTCTCGAAAGTTTTGTGGACGCGTGATAATGGTAATTTTATAGTGTGTGGTAGGCTCCGTCTAATGCTAGTGATTGCAAGTTTTTACTTTTGGTAAGTTTTGATGGTTGCTAATGCTTATTCTTGTTTTAACCTACTAATTCAGTGGCTGGTACTACTGGTGATTTTATCTAACTTAGATATCGTCTGCCATTGCTCATTTGTGATTCAGATTGAGGTTCCTACCTACCAATTATAATTCATGGATTATTTGGCTGGTACCTACGCCATACTGAGTGATTACTTTTATGACCATTTAAAACCTCTTTATTCATGCAACGTAGCTTCCAGTTATGAATATATTTGTATTTGATTTCAATTAACATTTCACAAGTCAGAGTCACCAGTCACCACTCATTACAATGCATTCACACTTCAGCATCATACCGCTCAAAAAATGAAATATCAAGGAACGGTAAATCCTATTACTCTTCATATCGGTGCTAAGGCTTCTTTTCTTTGTTCTTTATATTAGGTATTACTGCTGTTTTCATTGGTGATGTCTTGTAGATTTCCTGAAAAGTGAGAACAAAATAATCATTATTTTCCAGTAATGAGTACTGAGTACAAAATTTCTCAGTGTCTGGAGACACCAATCAGCGGCAACTTTGCCAACCCTGTACCTATAGCATTGTAGTACTTAACCTTCACTACATTTGATAACAATTCACAATTCAAATTTTTAAATGTCAAGAATACAAAAACTGAAGCAACAGGTAAAAACCATATAATAAATATAAAAGCACTACAACAATGATAATTAGGAGTTTGAAAATTTCATTTTGCCATTTTACACAAATACTGATTGCTTAGTATGTGATTCATGATACAGAAATAGCATACAGTGTGATTTCCTCAAAACAGCTTTTACGTGATGGACAGTGGCTCTGTCTTTTTCCCATTCACAAGGCCAAAGGGACAATTTCTTAGTTTTGAGGTAACACTTTTTGGAAACCTACCACATTTTTCTACCTTTTTAAAGAAAAATCTCACCGTCATGGGCCTTTTTTCAACCGTAACGATACATTTGAAGTCAAAAGTGTACCCAAATGAATCAAAAAATTGATTCCATGCCCATATTTGGTCATGGCTCCTCCCACCAGAATCAAATTATTGATGCCTCCATATTTTGATTCCAAAAGTCTAGTTTGCCCAACTGAGGTAGATGGCGGCACGGTCCTCCCGGGTCTAGCGTCTAGCACTTAAAGCAGGTGTCGCACTAGTTTTTTTTTGTAACCAAGGAGAGGTGCTATACCCAGAGAAATGTGACGCCTGCTTGACTACTACTAGTAAATTGAAATTAACTATCATGGTTGAAGTTGGGCATTATGATTAGTAGAGCAGACGTCACATGAAGGTTTTCCAACTGAGGAGAGGTGCTGTAGGTTTGTAGGTTGTAGGGTAGGTTTGCAGGTTTGTAGGTTGAAGGTTGTAGGTTTTTGGGTTGTAGGTTTGTAGGTTGTTGGTTAGGCTAGGTTAGGTCAGGTTTGTTAAGGGTTTTGTTAGAAAGAAGCACCTTCGGGCATGGTGCGGCGGTGCCTCTCCTTGTTTGGAAGACCTTCCTGTAACGTCTGCTCCATTGATACCTGAAATTGTAAATCATTTAATTTGTATTTACAATTTCAAGGCTTCAGCTCATGCCTTCTTCAGTCCTGGGAGCTGAAGCAATTTTCGAAGGTGATGTTGTAAAGTAATTTGATTTCAAATTTTCATTGATGGCTCCTTCTGTGCCCGGATTCAATATTTGGTGACCTAAATAGGTAAATGAAGTAGGTAGGTAGGTATATATTTGATTAAACACTTTTTTAAAAGCACCTAGTTGTAGGAAAGAAGCAGTACAACATTTTTTTGTGGCAACAGCTCAATATTTAGGATTGCCTCAGTATAGATGAGAGAAAGAAAGCGCATAATTAATTTTGCCGGAATATTAAAAATGATCATTTTCGAACGAAAAATCTTTTAAATCTTTACTTTCAACAGGTATTTCATAGAAAATACAAATGGGTTTTAAGAAATACTTAAGAAATTAGGAACAACACATTCTCCCTTCAACACTTGATGACTCAGTATGTTGATGTCCATTTCAGATCACAGATGTCATCACCTCTGGATTGAACATTGACTCACAGTCATTGGTCATACTCTATTCAGATGTTAATACTTAATTGGCATGGTGATTTGATCTGATTTTATGGCCATTATCATTGCTTAGGTAATAGGTATGTATTTTCTTACTCAATTCTTCTGTTTTGTATTCCAGGAAGCAGTGTGGTGAAGGACTGGCAACATCACTGTTGGACCAATCAGCAAGCATCTGTGATAACCAGAATGGGTAACCTTTTGAGGCTGTTGGCTCGTGATGACTGCTGCTCAGTGCAAAAATATGACATCTTTCTAGACTTTGAAAGTAAGTATGATGACTTATTCAGCAAGAAGTGTTTATACCCTACTATAAAATCTTGGCTAGTTATTGACCTGTGATAGGATATTAGTTAATAGTTAGTAAGGTGTTGCAGAGCAATAGGGCAGAGGCCCAACTGCTCTTGAAACCTTTTATAATCATAAAGCACATTCAGCCACCTGTATATTGTTTGCTGCCTTGCTGCCTTTGCTGTCTGTCAGCACCTTTCTGTCCTCTCGAGCTCAACAAATCATTTTCATAAATGACAATTCCACCAATTCCAATGGACAACCAGCCAAAGTGCATTCCACCCCAGAAGCTCCTCACAGTAAGTTCTCTCAGATACACCCTGCTGCCCACTGATTCCCGTTGTGACCATATCCCGTGCGCCGGCAGACGCCGAGCCGACTGAGAGCGAGCTAGAGACATGGACCGAGGTGCGCCGTGTGCTGGACGAGTCGCGTCAGATGCTCAGCGAACTGCAGCAGTACAAGGGCGCCGCCAAGGAAATCAGAGAGGTCAGAAAAGACAGAGTGTGAGCGTCGGAACTTTGTGTATCTGTCTGTCGGTCATCACCGGCATTGGCGATTAGGCTACTCTCACCTCGACGGCATGAGAGAATAAGACAGACGACTTCCATCGTGTTTTGCCCCCAATTGAGCTATAGCAACGGTGTCATATCGACAATGAAAAAGTCAATTATTGTTTATCATCAGCAGTTTGGCAGGCGTCAGAGTGCATCTATGTACTGTCCTCATCTTTATCGCATTCCTTCTCTTTCGAGTCTTGTTTGGACTGTCATTGTGAGATGACAGAACCATGGCGCTGGCTAGCTTCTCAGCTGACACCAAGCTGTTGCCTCTCGCCTCAGGCTATCTCCAGTCCCAGTGATGACACTCAGGCGCGCGCCTGGGAGGCGGTCGTCCCGCTCGTCTTCATGCTCAAACGATTCTACCTCTTCTCACTGCAAATAGGTGAGTAGGCAAGAGATGAAGGGGGTGAGAGAGATGCGTGCAAATGAAGCAGTTTAGTCGTTCAAGTTGTTGATTCGCCACTAGCGCGGCTTTGTGTTGTCGTCATGTGTTTCGATCCAGTTTCTCCACCCTTCCTTTAAGAATCAACTGGAGTTTGCTGGTATGAAACTTTGTTGGTTTCTATTCTTTATTGTTCGTTTGGCAGATTCTGACTTGATTCTGACAGGTCATCTGTTGTTGTTTGCAAACCAAACAAGTGAAAAAATCGTTTTTTTCATGCTGTTCATGGCTTTTATCGTTTGTTTTTCGGATCAATAGGATTTTTTTAGAAGCCCGCTATTTTGTTTTCTTATTCACGCATCCGCTGCGTGTTGATCCCGTTGACAACCCCTTCCTCGCAAATATCGTTGTGCCACTCCCCCGTTCCCCGTTTGTGACATTCCTCCCTCCCCGTCTATCGCCGACAGACCGGATCGTCCCTCGGATTCTGTACGAGCTCTGCTCGGGCCCGATGACACCGGCTGTCCATCTGGAGACACAGCAGGCGCTCGTCAAACAGTTCGCAGACATTCTCGAGTTCGTGCTCAAGTTTGACGAGATGAAGGTGCGTTGTGTGTGTTAATTACGGTAATTGATTACTTTTGTTGTGATTATGCAATTTATGAATGAATCAATTTATGCAGAACTAAGAAGAATGTTAAGCTCTTCTTGACGAACTTAATCGATTTTGTTTTAAGAAAACTGACTGAATACGTTATATCTCGATGCTTGCGAAGCCAGAAGTCGCTTGTTTCAATTTCGTAAGACCAGCTTCTTATCTACCCATGTCTCTAACTTTCTTTAACTCCCTCCAGATGAACACGCCGGCGGTCCAGAACGACTTTAGCTTCTACCGGCGCACGCTCAACAGCCAGCACTACCGGCGACGTCAGGAGCAGCCGGACGACGCGGCCGGCACGCTGGACAACGATACCACCAACCGCATGTCGCTCTTCTACGCCGACCCCACGCCCATGCTGAAGACGCTCAGTGACGCCACCAGCCGCTTCGTGCGCGAGGTGAGCACCGGGAGGGAGAGAGATGGGTGGAGTGGTCCGTGGGGGTTGTGGGAAAGGACGCGTTTGGCTGGGGGGGGGGGGACGGGGGAGGTTACGATGGATGGAAGAGGTTTTTATTGCTCAGAATTTACAGTGCATACGCCTTGTGCTATTGGATAAGCTCATGGAAAAATACGTTATCACATTCGCTTGATCATCTATTTTTCAATTATTTTCTTTTGGTGATGCATGTAACCCTTGACTATATTCGAAGCTACTGTTCCGGACGCTACCTATTTGAAATTGTGCGGATCCGAGTGGTTTTCCACTGGCGGACACTGCGGGCTGCGATGATGAGTCCATTGTTTGTCAGCAGTAGCCTTTGGTGCACAGAGCTCTGCATCCTACCAACGCTGATTGCAGAGTGCCAGTACAAGGGCGAAGCCCATGACTCATATCCGTCCTCAGATATAATATCCTGCCTGGCGATAATTTTACATCAGCCTTCAGTGGCGCCGAGTTTGTTTTTTTCACCGTAGCAGCATAGATAAATACAGATAGTTATATACAGCATAGGCAGTTAGTTCTCTGATATGATGGCTATATAATTGAAGTTACCGGCCGATTGCTTTCACGCCAGTTCCTCTCTGACACTTGTTTGGCGTTTTCCCCCACCTATTTACGTCTGGGGTGTTTAATTCTGGTCGTCTTTCCGCCGCACTGTAGCGGTCTCCCGGGTTCGGTCGGTCTCGGTCCGATATATTTCTCTGGGTGAGTAGGAAACGCGTGCCAACCCGCCCCGTAGCAGTTCCGACAACCACTCGCCCGTCCACCGACTCAGACCCTGTGTGACGTCATGCTAGTCACGTGACTAACGACCCGCCCCGCCCTCCGAGTGTGTGCTCGTGTGGACCGCGTGTCGGAATTGGTCACGTGACGGCCGACTGTGGCGCTACCAATCACTGGTAAAGGTCACGTGACTGCGGTGCGTCACCCCTGTTCCCTTTGTGAGGGCGAGGATCGATGTATGGAACGTGTCGGCTCGATCGTGGTTAACAATTGGAGTCGCCGGTAATAGCGACTTAGCAGCTAGTGACGACGCTAAACTTAATTCAAAATGTGTATTGTACATACATTGTACAATTGATTGATTGACGTTAAAGATGGCTCTGCATAGATGTAGCTAACCGGTAACCGTGTAGTCTGGATCTTGTTTTATCGTGACAACATTGTTTCGTTGCCGTCTTTTAAGATTCAGATCAATAAGATAAGAATCATTGTATCAGCACATCCTGAGCAAGCATGGAAACGCCATCCTTTAAAGGTAGTGTGCCACCTTCCAATGATTTCCCATTTTATTTTTCCTAGGAGAAGAAGCTTCTGTTTTTACCTAATATCGCAAAGAAATCAAAAATGGGCCTAAAATAGTGCTTTTTTCGCCTAAAAGTTTATCGGTTTTTCGATATGTATAACAACTGTAGTGGGCTGACCTGCAAACAGGCGTCGGCAACAATCGCCAATGCGGCGCACATGTGACAATAAGCAAAGGTCATTATAGAGTTACGACGTACGGGAATGAGTTATCAGCTGTCTAATCGTAGACAACACAATGTCGAATTTAAACTGTAAGCCTGTATTGGTATTGTTTCTTTAATTTGGCTGTCGAACATTAATTTATGGTTTGAAATATTATTTTATGTAAAATAACTGATATGAAACAGCCGTCTCTAAAGTTATGACCCCATCTCACCACATGAAAGTGGCAGAAATGACCATGATCAGCTGACGCATTTTTCTTGGCCGAAGTCAGAGCGCGCGGCCCGACGCACCACCACCGCACCACAAAGTATGAGCAGAAGCCGCGCCCAAAGCCAGGGCCCCGGTAACGTGAGGTAGCCGAGTCGGGGCAGCGTGCGCTGACCCAAGCCGGGGCCGCGGCTTTGGGCGCGGTCTACCGCATCCCCGCGGGCAGCCCCGGGCTATCACATGATACCGGGAGGACGCGCGGCCCCGGCTTGGGTCAGCGCACGCTGCCCCGACTCGGCTACCTCACGTTACCGGGGCCCTGGCTTTGGGCGCGGTCTACCGCACCACCTATCAGGCGTGTTCGAAACCGCAGGAGGTGATGATGAACGGGTTTATCGAAACTTGATTGGATGAGCCTATCGGTAATAGCGATTTCAGTGTGTGCATTTATTGTTCATAGTGGTGTGAAATGTGGTTGGGGTACGACCGACAACCCGTCGGGGCGAATTTCGCACTGAGGTACTCAAAATTTGAAGAATTTAAGACGTTTCCATGAGTTTTGAAGGTATGGATAAGTTCTAAAAATCCGGTTCTCCTTATCTGGGCCATCAACTCCATACGGTCCAGGAAAGCTGGCACACTACCTTTAACGATTTGTATTTCGACTACCGATTGTCACGCAGTCAGTCCCCTCACGGTGCAGAATGGAGACAGCCGTGTTGTTTGCGAGCTGTTTTGTGGCGTCGGGATATTTCGGCGTGATATAATGATCGTGAAAGGGTGCCTGCCTATAATGTGGTTAGAGACTTTTAAATCGTTTTTAAGCCCCACGCTCTCTAGCATATCGACCCACCAGGCCACTGTAGTGTTGTGTTTTTTAGTACGTTTTGTACCCACTTAATCCCCATAGTTCACACCCTGTATATTTACTAGTGTTAACAGCAGCACCTACAGGGTGTCCCATAAGTTCGTTCTCACATTATGTTTGCATGTGAAACAGAGTACATTGCGTTTTGGTATATTTATGACCCCTCAATGTGCTCCCCATTTAATAGGCAAACACATGAATACATGCTGCGGCATGCCAACCGGCATGTTTGGCTGCATAGCAGGCTTAAAGTTAACCCAGACTGACTTGACATGCGCCGTGAGCTCCTCGAGGCTGGAACAGCGCTACGCTTCAACGAGCCTCAACTTCAGCATAACCAACAAATTTTTATGAAATTTTGATCCGATGAGGTGCCTGGCATGTGATCTTTCCACAAACGCCTGTCACAGTCTCCTTGCACCGCTTTTAAGCTTTGCTTGACCTGTGCACTGATGCACTGTCTTGCCTGAAGATGGGCCTACGACCTCCCGGATGCCATTTTCTCCTCTATAAATGTGTTCATACTCGCGGTTCGAGTTCAGCTTGAGGGCTGAAATTCCTCCTAGATGTTCTTGGAAAAGCATTCTGCTTCCCAAAACTGTTTCCGGGTTGCCACTTGTAACTTGATCAACTCCAGAACGCCTATAACCCCACAACACAGTGACCCTGGCCTTTTGCATAGGAACATAACGGGACGAAATGAAGGCCTCCTCCTTCGCCCTTATGGGGTTGTTTTCGGGTTTGGACGGGTGTTTCATCTCGAACGTGGACTAGTTAGTCCAGATGACCTGGTTGATGTCATCAGCCCTCTAGTTTTGTTTAGCCTCAGGCATAACGAAACTCATGTTTGGCCATTTTAAGACGTTTTTGACTGTTTTGAGCCCTCCGGTAAGCAAAGCTTAAGTCACCTTGAGTTATGTACCCCGAAAGAACACTCTTAGACAGCTGGTAATCCATCCTGAAAAGTCTGTTTACCAACTTTCTAACCCTTTGACCTTTTTGATGGCCACTTTGGCGCCACACAGTTTTGGCCACTTGGCTCATTCCTGAGGGCTGGCTAGAAAGAGGATAAACTTGCAGTTATTGACTCCCAACAAAGCATCGGCGTCACTTGCTGACTGTGCGTCCAGTTAGCGATGGATATTGGCTACCGACTGGTAGGCCTCAATCACCCTCAATCGTCGCGAATGGTCACGTGCTGACTAAATACTGAGACGTACCCGTATCGGAGACCTCTATGTTGCGGCGTTAGCCGTCTCTGTAGGAAGCGGGCTCTCTAGCAAAAACTATTTTGTCTGCAGAAATTAGCTACTGTGGAGCATATTTCTACCAGCCATGGCAACCATGTAAGCTCAGTTACGAACCAATTTCAGCGTGCCTTTAAGCAAGAAAGCCTAAAAACGTAAAATTTAGGTGAGAACGAACTTATGGGACACCCTGTATTTCAAAAGCTAGCGTTGATAATTGGCTATTTCATTTTGAATGCCGTACATGCGGTGATGTGATTGATTTATAGCCTGTTATCTATAGCTTCGTTTAACTAAAACTAGGACGGTGGATGGATCAAATATTATTATTGAGGTGATAAAATCCGTTGCCGACTGTTAGATGATATGTGAATTTGAACTTCTTCAAATACATATTTGAACTATTATCGTCAAACGGTTGGCCGTTCAGTGGCAGCAAGAATGTGCATCAGCACTTGAACACCCAGGACAATACAGTGTATATTTGATAAGATAAATCAATTGAGACATTCGTTTTTCAACGAGATATTGGGAAGGGTATAATCGGTCTCTTGTTGAAATTAGTGCACGTTTTATATTGGTCTTTTACCATGTCCTTTCATTGGGACGCTGCGCACTCCCAGTGTTTTGCGTCCGATGACTATTTCTAATGTTTGTCATTTTCAGCACAAGGAGGTTCCCGTTGAGAACACCACTGAGACCCTCGGCACTATGGGGAAGGTGTGCCAACGCATGCTGGAAAACCCGTGAGTGCGCGCCTTCTGGGTAGCATACCTAAACCCTCCTAGCCAGAAAGTTCCTCATGCTGAGACACGTGTTTGCCTTAGCGCAAGGGCAGGCTACAGTCGATTTATATTGGTCTGTTGTTACTCCTGAAGGAAGTTCCGAGCAACTGTGATCAATGAACTACGTGGAAATTGGTAGGTCTCCGGCTGGCAGCTGGACATATCCAGTTATTCAATTTTACCGTATTTTGTGTATAACCGAAGGTTTGTTGTCAATAGTTAAAACACTATTCTTTAGAATTGTGTTTTTCTATTGAAAAACAAATCTGAGTTCCCTGACAATTTGGCAAAAGCTGCCTGAGATCAGTACAACTTGATGCTCGAGAAAACGGCTGCTCCAAAAATTCTGATTTTTTTCAGGATTTCTTGTATGTTTTATTCGAACTTCTTGACATTTTTTTACTAGCTATCCACACGATAGTTTCATTTGTAAATGGAGTATTCACTTTTGATGGTTCGTTTTTGCGTCACACTATCGGAGAGTTTTATAGCCTCCTCTGAATTGTCACCTCGCCATTCCCTACCCGGCTGTGCCGTGCTGGTGTCGTGTCGCCGACTGAGCCCTCCCGCTCCCCTCTGTTTGCGGTGTCACAGGGCGCTGATCGCCCGCTTCCGGCACGAGGAGACCCATCTCTTCATACTGCGAGTGATGGTGGGCCTCATCATTCTGTACGATCACGTGCATCCGGCCGGCGCCTTCGTCAAAGGTGGGTCCAGTGTCCCAAAATTTGTAGATGTGGGTGGGAAACGACATCCAAATGCAAATCATTTTCCACTCTCACCTCCAGTTTTCAAGCCCAATTTTCCACTCCCAATTCCACCGAGAAGGAGCAATTGCGGGAATGATTGTTTTACATCTGTCACAATTGTAGATAGATTCATGTTTTTTATCATTTTCCCACTCTTTTTGGGCCTTACCTGACCGACAATTTTTCACTCTCATCCTTTTTTTTGGTCAGCAATTTTCTCCTCTGACACCAAGCAAAAATATGATTTTGATATACTGGGTGGGTCTCACATTCAGCGTCTCACGAGCGTCCGGTTACACAACCAGCAATAGATGTGGGAATTATAGACCGGCGGCTGGAGTGAAGATGAAGCGTTTTCTTTAGCTACGCCAATATCGCATACACGTAGACCGTTCAAATCATTTTGAATTTACTGCCAGCTTACGGCAGCCTATGCGATACCCGATTTACGTCTTTGTCGATGATATTATTTCCCTGTGTCGCTTTAGTTCCTGGTCATGTTTATCGACCGATGGTCCTGATTGTCCGCGTGACCTCAACTGATCTTATAGTGACATCCTTGTGACGTCACTGCCGTGCTCTCTCCCCAGCAACCAACCTGGACATCAAGGGCTGCATCAAAGTGCTGAAGGACCAGCCTCCAGCCAACTCGGACGCACTCCTGAACGCCCTCAGGTAAGGACAGATATTTACACACTTCATTGTCTGCTGGAATAGAGTTTAAAGTTACGATAAGTGAAACATTTTCACAGACAGAGCAGATAATTGTAAAATTCCTCCCCCTTCCTTCTTGTAAAAGCTGTTCCTGGCTTGGTGATGACTGATAGTTGTAATCGCTCTTAGAGCAGCTGTTTGCTTTAGTAGTTCGCCGTGTGATTCTCGGGTGTCGTTCTTCAGGTACACAACGAAGCACTTGAACGACGATAATACTCCGAAACAGATCAAGACTCTGCTAGCTGTCTAGCTTCGGGAATCAGTTTCGGAGATGGCTGCCAGTCTTGCGGCCGATGGGAGAGACTGAACTTGGTCAAATGTGCGCTAGATGGCAGGACGTCCGTCTGCGCTCGGCGCCACCCAAAGAGCGCGATAGCCATTCGGTGCACGTCGTGTGCATGCTTCGCTATTGTAATACTCGATTTCCAGTTTTGTACGCCGTTTGTTACGACACGCGTTGCACGTATTCGGGCAATGTGGCGCGGATGGCGTGATTTTATTTCAACGCATGTGCTAACACTTCTCTTAGAGGACTAGCAACTTTTTGAGATGTTTGTAGTGCATTTGTAGTCTAGTGATTTGCGATCGGATATTGATTAACTTGTACAGGACGCGTCCGAGTCGAATTCGTGGTACCCACCTGGCTTGCAGTGTGCTGAGGCGAACGCACAAGAGCTTACGTCAGGACTAACGACACTGTTTGTTGTGTGAAACGTTTTATCTAGATTGTAACTCCAAATTGTGTCGATTGATTTGTTATTCAGGAGAGTCATACATGGGTGACTCCGCCCCATATATGTTATGATCAGCCGTATCGTTGTGTGTAATCAATTTTTGTGTTGTCTTTCAAAACGTTTCTGAGAACTGTTAATAGTCAGCATTGTGATTATTCTGGCACCAAAGCAATCGTTGATGATTTCTCCACGTCGCTCTCTCGTCTGTTAGTTTTATACTTTTTTATCCTCCTTATGATCGGTCACTCAAATGGCGGCGTCTATATGATTTACCTTTGGTGATCTGTCAGTCTGTATCCTGTCTCGCGCTGTCCCAGGCCACTCCTGTGGCGCCGCGGCCGTCGCCATGCGCGCACAAACACACGTTGCTCGCTGCGCCGTCTTAAGCGTGTTTCCGCTCGAGAGTTGTGAGTGCTCGCCAGCGTCCCGGCACGGAACCAGTCACGCGGACCACGCTCTACCCCTCTGGCTTGCTTGGCGCACGTGTGGTGCGCCCGCCTGTTGTGTACCGGATCGTGTGCTTTATACTGCGTGCACGGCGCTGCTCACTGGACCGGTTAGTGAAGTGCACGCCGGCCGGCCGTCTGCTCAGTTCGTTATATTGCGTTACCATTGTTACCCTAAGTGTATTGTTTATCCCCGTCGTCCCTTCCCCCGTTCCCCGAGTCCAGCGAAGGATGCTGGGTTGATGGAGCGTATGTGAGCCAGCTGCCACGAACCTTGCCTGGACGCGAGTCCCCATGCGGAGGTACTGGACGGCTTTCGTCGCTCTTGGCGTGGGTCGGCTGTGCCGGCCTGTGGTCCTATTCAATGTCGCTCCATCTGTGTGGGCTAGCCTGTTCTGGTGTCCGACTCAATGTCCTGAGACGAAGGACCGCTCCTGAATCACGCACTATGCTCATGGTGGACCACGATTGCTTGTCCAAAGTGTGGAGTTCTTAATCATCTGGAAATGATTGATGACAAATGGCGAGTATCGCCGTGCACAAAGACAAATCTGGAACAAAGGATGGTTGACGGGGCACAAAGACTGGTGGTTGTGCGCAGTGGGACTCTGTGCCCGTTTTGTCGCGTGTTTTTCACATCGGTACGGAACTGTACTAGTGCGCGCAATCGCTGTGTCGGCGGTGTGAGCACGGCTTGGTGCACGACCCCTGCCCCCCCCCCCCCCCACCGCTCACTGTACAACGCTCGCAGTACCGACGACGACGACACAGGCCGGGTCGGCGGCGGGCGGACCGACGGCCGAACGGGTGCGCTTTACCGACACGAAACATCATTCATCGTTTTACTTCTGTGTCGTGGAAAAGATCACATTTACGCACTGTTTCTAAAAGAAGATAGGAAATGTGCGATTTTTAACATCTGTGCTGTTTTGTTTGCGACCAGACATTCACAGGAAATGTTTTTACTGTTTCAATCTTTTCCGAGCGGACGATGTCACCGCGGTGTTTTCTGTAGACTTTACGAACGTCAAGGACTGTGTGTCTGCTGTCGGTCCACCCGCTTGACCGAACCGAACTGTCAATACAGGGCGTCCGTTCTAACTAGTGTGTGTGTGTGTGTGCTTTGTAGACTTGAAGAGGGTTGAATCGAAATGGGGTGCTGTTGAAGCGCTCGTTGTGATACCGACAACCAGATGATCTGGTCGGCGATAGGCTCCAATCACTTGACCTGTTCGGTAGAGGGCGAAACGGCCCTTTATCTGCTTCTCCGATATCTGCATAAATAGAATCGATGTCGCCATCAGGCTGTTGGTGCATCTTTTCACATCTACTATAAATACACATGCTAACCGAAAGACAGGTTTGGAGCCTGGAGGTCGCAATAGGTCGACCGTAATTGATGTTGAGAAACGTCATGTTCTGGAGTTGTTGTTTTTTTTTTCATTGCTGGCGTAACATATTTGTCTGTTATACAAAAAGTTTAAAACATCAGTGAACCGATCCATGACGTCAGCGATAGCCTTGAGGTCAATAAACTCAGCCCAAATTGAAGAAAAACAGTGATGTTGATGACGTCATGGCATCATGCACCGTGGAAATTGTACATGCAATATGCCACGCTCCAGCCTCCAACGTTCCACGCTTGCTTTCTCTCAGAGTGAGTTCTAACTTCTAACGCCTGTCTGCACTCTCAGCCGCTGATCTCAAGTAGTCGCGCACTTCCGTTAATGTATTTCGAACTTGAGAAGCAATGCATTAGGCACGAGCACTGAGCAGCTGGCTCAACTGCGCATTAGTCATCGACGAGTGGATCGACGACTCTTCTCGTCAACACCGCGGTAAAGGGTATAAACAAGGCTGTAGAACTCCATATGACCGCCATCGCCGGATGCATTACCGGACTGATCGCTCGAGTGTTGAGCCACTCGAGTCGCCATGGGTGGTCTCCTGATAAGATGGCAAGTGCTCAATGTCATTGACTGAGCGCAATGACCTCACCTAGGAATCCCCTGTGCCACTGTAGATGTCTGCAGATTGGTGGATGACTATAGGTACAATTAGACGAGTTATCGTACGGCTGCTGGCAAAGATTCGGGCAAATTTTGAACTAGCCGTCGCCGATGACCGTCAGGACAGCCCATATTCAGCCTGTATTCAGCGCAGATTCGGGACGCCTCGGATCCATTTGAAACTTATACACAACATACTACATAGATGATAGAACATGACCTTCAGGTGTTCAATACGTGGCCCGAACCGCGTTCGGCGTCACTCCCAGCTGTTTGGCCTGCAGAGGTCAAGTGTCAACAAAGGTCACGCCCCCCCCGCCCCCCCATTTGCACAGCAGATTGCGGACCACCCAGTCGAGCAACAGCGCTAAAAATGGCACCAAACGTCTCGCCATGCGGGACCTGGAGCTACTTTCTCACTATCGATTACCCCTTCCCCAGCAGCTACCCCTAAAGCTCAAACGCGATGACGTTAGGTGTTCACTGGTCAGGTCGAAAAAAACTTGCGCAGCAGTTCATGACTATAATTGCGATCGAAAACACAACATTCGGTAGCCCATATACCGAATGTCCAATGTTTTTTTTTTCGACCTGGCCCGTAAAAGATTGAAGGTCATCGTGACCATTAGGGGTAAAATCAGCAGTGAATAAGTAGCTCCAGATCCTGGCGAGTCCAGCGTAGGTTAACCTGAACTCTTAACTTGTCACATTTAATATCAACAAACACGTAGCATGATATTCGACGGAGATTTTATCCAGGTATTCACGCATAATTGACTGTTGCATTATCGCATAGGGTCCTACTTAATGCGCATTGCGCATAGATAGGCGCCCTCGTTCCGGTTTCGAGTGGTCATTATGCTCTCTAATTTGCTTTTAGACATCCACTTGATATTCGTAAGGAGCTGATGTACCTAACTCGACTAGGGTCTGAGAGTTATACACGAGCCCTGCTGGGGAAGGCGGGGGAAGGGGTGTTTGAACAACCCCTTCCGATTTTTTTTTGCAGATCCGCGCCGCCGTGTTTGGCACACCTCATCATAAATCTTTTCCGCACATGCTATGAAAATTTCAGACGATGTCACTCACGGTCAGGTCACCAGGTCACGTCAAGTGACCTCACCTCTTAAAAAGTTTCAATGCCTTCCATTAGCTATACCTACCGAGTGGTCGATCGCTTTGAAAATTGCATCAATTGATAGGAGCAACAGTAGCCGTTTTCAGGACGGCCATCTGGTACATATTTGGTGCACATCTGGTACAGATCAGGTGCAGATCTGGTCAAATCAGGTCCAGTGTGTCTCTCAGCAGCTATCAGCTAGATTGCTTATATGCCTGCTTTGTCATATTATCAGAGAGCATCATCGATTAAAACACTGAAATAACTTCACAAAATGAAGATATTTGCTGTAAAGGAAATTAGGTGCAGATTTGGTCAAATCGGGTGCATTCGCCGGATAGCCCATCGTGAAAACGGCTAATATGCACAAAATGTAGGTATATCTCAGAGTTTTTATATCGACGGCCTAAGGTCAGGTGAATTTTGCGCCCTCTCCATGATAATTGTCAAAGGGAGATTTATAGTGAAATACGTCTCTTTTCGACGAACGCCGTTTTAGACAATAAAACATCGGGATACAGGTGAATTGGCAAACTGAATAGGAAAATTGCACCTGTAATCCTTATGTCTCCGAGGTCATCTCAGGTCATAAAAGGTCGCTGGCAGTTTTTTTTTTAGCAATAATGTTTGATAGAGACATGCTATGAACGATGAAAACACCTAGGTGTGTATAGTGCTTAGGTTGACGATACCTACGGGTCGACTGATATGCAACATGACATTTTCGGTCAAGTCATGACCTTGAATTGAGGTCAAAATTTAAAATGACCTTAAAAGTTCAGGCTATTGTTAACCAAACGTGTCTCGACGAGAGGAACATGAAGCTCGGGCAAAATAAATGTCGTGCCCTTTTTAAGTTAAAAGTTATTACAGAAAACATTTTCGCAAAAAGTTTATTTCAAGTTAATGCCCTCTGGAGGCTAGATCGTTGGTTTTCTAAGTCAAATCTGAGAGCCTCACCCGCGCATGACTGGAATATTTTTCATAACGCGAGTGACTGCAGGGCGGGGGGCTCTCCAGAGCCCCCCCCCCCATCCTTTCTCCGAAACTACTGGGCCGATCGTCAAAATTTAAACGGTGTATGATACCCTAGGAAAAACTGTCGAATGAAACCTATTTTCATTGACTTCGAGGTCACCGATGACGTCACAGGTCAGGTCAAACTAAAAATTATCAGCATTTTTGCTTGATCACAATTTGGGCTCTCACCGCCGGCTGACAAGTCCAATCAGGCTCATTTTTGGTTTACGCACTCCTTGATATATGCCTTAGATACCCTGAGGGTACCGAACTTTTACTTCGAATTTCTCAGGTCATTCTAGATCACGAAATTGGTATATCATTTATCGGTCACGTGACGCATGCTTTATGGTCCGTTTTGCTCGTAGATTTCGAACAAATGTCGTCTGCGTCATTTGAGGTCATTTTCAGCTGGATTTACTGCAGGTCAGGTCACTTTCAGGTCAGAAAAGATCAAATTTTGAAACAACTAAGGTGCCTATCAGATGCCGTTTGAGGTCAGGAACACGATGGTGCCATTTATATTGCTGTACGATGTCAGAAACGTACTGAAAAATGGCTTTGAAAAAATATATTATTGTAAATTTTGACAATAATGCACATTTCTTTGCTATTTTTGAAGATATTCGGCTAAAACTTGCTAGAGTAGTTCATCGGTGTGTTTTTATCACACATGTTTCATTTTTTTGCGAAAAAATAAAAAACTTTTGAAAAATCAAAAAAATGTTTTTTTGTAACTGTGAATGCTTATATATTTTTGGGGAATTTTCAAACTTGCAAAAAATCGAGATAGCAGTTTGATAGCTGCGTGTATTTGTAGTCCACTCATGTACCTAAAGAAATTGGATCTAGCTTCAAAACTCAGCTCTTGAGAGCGATTGCCGTAATTCAATATTTTTTCATCAAATTCGTCCGACATGACGTCACTCTGACGTCATTTCCGGCCAAACTATGGTAGCTAGAAAGTTGAAATTTTAACACAAGGCGTCAAATCAATGCCGCTGAGGGTACCGCGCGATTAGTGTTGATCCGTCAAGTGGTTTAGAAGATATTACCGAAAAACCGGAGGGGAGGCTCTGTATAGCCCCCCCCCCCCCAGTCATGCGCGGGTTAATCAAGAAAGACTACGAAGAGGGCTATCGAAATTCGAATGCGCTTTTTTGCGGTGCTGTAGCTCTATTGGTTCCCGAATTATGCGCCGGTTTTTCGTTAACCCGCGCACCGACTTAGAACCGCCAACTTAGAACCGATGGGGGCGGATGACCGCTGCCTCCCTCCCTGAAATCTCGAGAACGAAGCAAGATAGCGACAAGCCGCAAACAGCGTGGAGTACGCACGGACAAGGTCTACAATTTTTACACCGGTCATTTTCAGGTCAGGTCAAAGATGACGTCACAGGGGTCAAAAAGTCAAAATGGCGGCGTAAGATATGGAGTTTTTCTCGAATAACTTTCGAATTGGTCAAGCTAGGAACAAACTAAGGGCACCATCGTGATCCTCTTGTCAATCCGCATCGAACCATATATACACATGTTGACCTCGAAAGGTCAAGGTCAAAGGTTGACCTCAGGTCACGTGACCTCGAGGTCATCATGAAGGTATATCATTCGATGCGCCTTGACGAGCTGAACACAATGAGACCATCCGCGCGGCTGTATCTTGTTCCTGTAAGGAATAATTAGCAAACAACCTTTGGTGACCTTTAATGACGTCACATGACCTTACAGCTGCCCAACAGCAAAACAGGCCTCAAGGTAGTGAAGGTTGATCGTATATGAAGTCAGTTATGGTATATGGGGCCATTCTGACGCGTTTTAGTAAAAAAAAAAAATACAGGGAGCTGATTTTTCCCCAATTGACTTATAATGGGGAGGTCGAGAAATTGACCTGAACTTAGGTCATCGATATCAAAATTCCCAGATAAGCAAATTGTAGCTACCAATGACTAATAAAACATCCTCCGACTTTCAAAGGACTCCGTCATCTACTGTAGCTCTGACACGGTGACAAAGTTGCAAAAAAGTGAATTGAGGCTGGGTCATTCAAAGTGACCTGGTGACCTGACTTTAAAAGTTAGGAGGTTTAAACCTGCACACCATGTGTAAAATTGATGAGAGAATAGTCGTACCAAATTTTGTGCGCCGCGGTTTTCCCGCTATACGCGAAAAATCTCAGGGGGGCGGATAACCATCCCCCGTCGGTGCGCAGGTTAAGTGTTAAACTAGGCAGTATTTTACCTTTGATGACCTCTGGTGACCTGACCTTTGACCTGACCTAAATATTGACCAGTAGTTTCATCATGAAATTTGCCGATTTTTCGAATGCCGCCTGTACCGCGTCCCGCTACGTTGCACAGAAAGCCGTAATCGCCACGCCATATGTGGAAGGCTTTTGGTGTCAATACATACATACATACATACATACATACATACATACATGCATACATACATACATACATACATACATACATACATACAGGAGCCGAGTTAGAAAGGGTTGTTCAAACCGCTCCCCCCTCCCCCCACCCCGCGCGGTTGGCGCCGAGCACCGACCCGGCGCGGGATAAGTCTTGTCGAGCCATGTTGACCCGCGCTGTGGCGGGAAGAGAGTGGTTTTACGTTGGTTGTCGTCCTTTTTAAAATGTCTTAATAACAAAGGAGCTTACAGAGGAGCGTGTTGAGCACTACTCTGTTTGACAAAGCATATGCTGTAAAACCACATGTCCCATATTTAATTCTGTTAACTCGCACACGGCTATTTCATGAGAAACGTTGAGTGCCTCATATGCTATGAAGATGTGCATGGCAAGAGTCCATCTTGAATGGGTCATACTTCGGTACTAGGTATACGTGAGCTATATGGCGGGGACGTCGCTGAAATTTATCAAAACAGTGCTAAATCAATTCATGGAACTAGGGAAGGGCGCAGGTGCCTAATCAGCGTTGCAATCTTATCCTCGCCAATCGGTTTGAAGCCAGTGGTGCCGTTATCGGTCCTCGCACTGCTGAGGTGCACGGGCACTTCTGGACCTCAGTCGGCACCATGGGCAGTAGCGGGTATCGGTGGCGGGTGCTGCGTCAGTCCGGAGAGGAGGGACGCAGGCACCTCGGACCGTTACCCTCTCCGACTCTGCTGCTGCTGCTGCTGGGATGCTGCTCTCTAGCGATCCTCACAGGTAATTGCTGCTGGCGGCGATCCTCACAGGTAACTGCTGCTGAGCTGCTGCTGTCTGACGATCCTCAGTCCTCGCAGGTAACTGCTGCTGCTGGGCTGCTCTCTGGCGATCCTCACAGGTAACTGTTAGTAAAATTGTTCTGACTCACTGGCGGATCCAGAGGGGGGGGGGGGCATTCGATGATGAAACATATGTCAATATCAAGAGTATGGGCCAAAATATGTTTTGTCTCCCCTAAAACGATCATAAAAGGTCATGTGAAAGCGCTATGCAATGGTGAAAGTTACGGAGCACATCCCCCATTCAATTGATAACTTTTTCCCACCAAAGGGCGAGACTGCCTCTTTAGTCTTTAGGCCCTATGTCGGCCCTACTTTAGGCCTTACTTGCAAGTTACAATTGCCCTTAAATGAAGAAATTCGTTAACTTTTTGTACCACCGGGTAGATCATTGTACAGACACTGCTTTCCTCCAAGCTGATCTCGATCGTTTATATAGGTGGTCAAAGTCCTGGGGTCTGACACTAAACCCCTCAAAGTGTAAGATTCTGACGTTGTCACTGCGCCGGTCTCCTGTAATAGGCATATATTCGATAGACGGCGCGGTGTTGGAAAGAGTGACAGTAATGCGAGATCTTGGTGTCTTGTTGGACGAAAAACTTACTTTCGGGCCTCATGTCGATTCGATCTTACTCAAGGCCAACAGAGCACTAGGACTTATAATGAGATCTTTTCAGACAGGAAAAAACGGCAGGTCCTTACGCTGTCTTAGCTGCAGCGATCGCAAGGCTATAATCAGCACTTACTGTGCGAATGTAAGGTCGGTAGTTGAATACTGTAGCGTGGTATGGGGAGGAGCAGCTCAGGCACACATGAAGCGGGTGGAGCGTATCCAGCACAAGTTTTTGATGTGGCTGTGCAGTCGCTGTTGCCTGTCAGATGTCTCGTTTGAGTATGCAGAGCTCTTACGCTACTTCGGTCTGAGTTCTCTGGCGGCGCGACGAATGCAACATGATTTGATGTTCATGCGCAATGTACAAAACCAGTCTGTAGACTCGTCTTTTCTGCTCGAATATTTTCCGCTGACAGTGCCCACTCGTGCTCTGAGAGCACGGTTACTGTTTCATGTCCCTTATGGTCGAGTCAGCACAGTTAAATCAGGAATGTTTTGTAGACTGCCGCTATTATGCAACGAGTTTTTAGATGCGTGTCGTGATGTAGATGTTTGGAACTCTAGCGCTGGCCAATTCAAGAGCTCTGTTCTGGCTTATGTCAACACTCGTAGTGTGTAGATGCTTTACCTTTACTGCTAAGATGTTTTTATATTGTGTTTTTATCTCTGTTTTTATCTTTACAGTTGCACACTTTTTTCTTAACGTAACAGTCATTTAAGCGGTATTCGCTGAACTGTATGTTATAAGTGCATGTTGTGTTTCAACTGACTTCATCTGTGATTGGGGGCATACCCCGTTGATGATCTACAAATAAACTAAACTAACTAAACTAAACTATCAAATAAATACGCAACCAAACGTTGTTCAAAAGTTGTTCATGAACAAATATACGAATAGCGAACCTTACAGATAAACATGCTTCACACCAGTTCTCTACACACCGTGCTTCACAACTCGGGTCGAACTTCTTTCGAGGACACAAAATGAAGACCAAAATTATTCAGAACATGTCACAATAATGAAGAAATTACTTCTCTAATTTTTAGGTCAGGTCAAAGGTCAGGTCACTAGAGATGAAAAGGCAAATTTGAACTATTTGAGCATTTGTTTTTACAAACATATTTATTACCTAGGATCTAATACAGCTACAGCGCTGCAGAAAGGCGCATTCGATAGCTCTTTAACACTCTTTCTTTTCTGGTCAGATTTGACCTAGAATGAAGGGTACATGGCCTCCAAAGGGCAAAAACGTAAAATAGCGTTTTAAGAACAATGCTTTTTTGTAGTAACTTTGGACTCAAGAAAGGCACGTTTGTCAGCTTCGTGTTTCTCTCGTCGAGACATGTCGAATGAACTATAATTTGACCTCGAAAGTTCATTTCAAAATTTGACGTCAAATCAAGGTATGACCTGACCGAAAAATCAAATCAACATATGACCTGACCGAAAAAGGTCATATGTTGCTTATCTGTCTATCTGCATCGCCGACCTGAACTCATCCAAGCCGTTTTCATTGCTCTAGCGTGTTTCTATCAAAAGTGATTGCCATGCTGGAGACCTTTCATGACCTCAGATAACCTCAGGGGGATAAGGAAGGTTCAAGGGTGCAATTTTCCGATTCATTGTGTCATGTTTACCTGTAACCCGATGTTTGAGAGCAGGGCTGCGGAGTCGGAGTCGGAGTCGTAGTTGGAGTCGGTCGGAGTCGACAGTTCTGCCTGGAGTCGGAGTCGGAGTCGCCAAAATCTTACCGACTCCGACTCCGGAGTCGGAGTTAACGCTGCAATGGCTCAGCGTCATGCAATGCACCTGTTTAGTTGACGATACTGCGCTCGAAATTAGGTTTTGTCGAAAAAGGTCATTTTGCAGTTTTGGACGAACGTTTTCAGCGAAAGAAGCGAAGACGGTGAATTCCCCAGGACCTGCTTTTTAATTCTGCATGTTATTTTTAGCATATTTGCAACGCAACGCCTTGGAACCCACAATGGATCGTTTCAGGCAAGATAAAAACATATCCATTATGAACTTCAATATCATGATATGTTTTTAATAGAACCGTCCGGAGTCGGAGTCGGAGTTAGAGTCGGAGTGGGAGTCGATTTTTGAAGCCGGAGTCGGAGTCAGAGTCGGAGTCACCCTAAAATCAATCGACTCTGAAGCCCTGTTTGACAGTGTTTAGAAGGATGTTCATGTATAAAAGACGGTATTGACGAAGTGTCATTTTTAATCTTCCTCAGGTAAATGATAGTAATTCGTATTCGTTTCGGGCTACACTGAGGTAAAAAATTGTTAGAAACCAAATATTTCGGCTTTATTGAGTAGCCTTGTTCACTGGTTTGAAATATGAAAATGAAAAATTTTCATATTTCAAACCAAAGACGCCTTTACTCAATAAAGCCGAAATATTTGGTTTCTAACAATTTTTTACCTCAGTGTAGCCCGAAACGAATACGAATTACTAGTATAAAAGACGCCTTTCAATTTTCTGCCGTTGACTTAGGTAATAGGTATACCATAATGGAAAGGGTGCTAAAATGTCTTGGCCTTAAGTCACAGATATTGAAATTCCGAAAGGTACGTTTTATACATACTGTTACTCTTATCAATCGCTGAAAGTTTCGAAGTGATCGCTCAGTCGATGTAGCTATGGCGAACATTCTAGCCTTTTCTGTGATAAGGTCACTCGATGTGACCTGGTGAATTCGCCTTGGGCGACCTGGGTCTGAAATTTTCACATGTGCAGAAAAGATGCATAAACAGGTGTGCCAAAAACGATATTTTATAAACGATATACCGGGTGGCCCAGAAAAAAAAAACGCTCCCAATTTTAAATCAATATTTGTCAGAAAGTGATAAAGATACAACATTGAAACTTCCAATAGTCAATGCGGCATATATTTTCAGCAAATGGTGTGATTTTTTTGTTATTCGGTCAATTACTTTTTAAACGGTTTGTGTTTCTAACATGCCATGTAAAAATCACTTTTTTGCTCAGATGTTTGCTAAAAATGTGAGTGAACGGGCCACTTCCATCTCGGCACCACGGCCTGCAGCCATGACTGCTACTGGCAACTAGCCTCATTGATGATTCAGGCCTCAGGGTGACACATTCCCTCTAGTTTTTTCCTTATTCGGTCGATTTACTATTTGATCTTCTTGAAGGGAGGGCGATCAGCAGTAGCCCATGCACCGTGCCGCTCCTTCTCTTCGAAACAGGACTTGTGTTGAATCGAATGACATCCATTAACGCAATTTTGGCTTAGTATTTGAATATTTGGCACACGGCAAAAAAAGCAAAAACGTCTTACTTAACTCAACATAAGATTGCTGGCTTGAAAATGATGGTAAAGTGTTATAATTTGGCATACCAATGCGCAAAGAAGTGACGCAAACTTGATGAAATTTTGGCTCGTTATTTGCACTCGAATTTGAGATATAGGCCTCCAAAGTTCGGAACGTTTTTTTTTGGGGCCACCCGGTATATATTTAGATATATGCGAAAAACCTCAGGGGTTGTCTAAACACCCCACCCTGGCCCGGCGCGGGTTGAGACACCAATTAACTCAAATTGGCAATGTAAGAGCATACGCTAGTAGGCGGCAAACCTTTCTCACTTCGGCCCAGTCGCCGAGTTCGTTCGAACATGACCTGGCTTATAATATCATAGCTCGGTGACCTGATCTAGCAAAAAAACAAAAATTTAGGCTATGCTCGTCCAGAAGATGAACGCAGAGCCTGCTCAATATCGTTTTGATCCATTCAAATGTTTGGGGAGATTTAATTGAAAGGTGATACGACAACGGGGTTTATATTGCTACTTGAACTGAACGTTTGGATGCTTGCGAAAAATATGACGGAGTTGCTAGTATTTAGCATTTGTAATATTATTGTTTTATTTCACCTAAAATCTTTAAACCATTTAGTTGACATCCTTCAGTGAAATGTATGGAAAGATGAAAACTTTATCGTCTTTCTTACCGCATCCACGTATAGTACTGTCTTTGTCTATGTCTATGTCTGTCTACGTTGTCTATGTACTGTCGTTGCCTTTTTCTGCAGGATCAGCAAATGGTGCGAATCAGCCGACCCTGTGTGAACGAAATATTTGCAAAAATAATGGTAAATGTTACCTCATGGAAACCAGTATACCGTATGACTGGTAAGTAAAACTTTTGTGGCCAGTACGCCAATTACCTAAAATAAAGTAGCCGGTAGGCACGACGATTACGAGGGCTAATTCTTGGTAATGTTACGCATACGATTTAATTAAAAGATAGATCTAGCGGAAGCAGACTAAAGAATTCTGAAGAAAATAAATAGTGCATCTCGGCCAAGTGACCGAGATGCACTGAAAATATGGACAATTGTTTCTACAAGTCTGCATGGACAATGGGACACGTATCCCCGTAATGTTGACAGAATGCTACCGTTGGGAAAGGATGATAGGTATATTATGATATTTGTAATAATCTAAAAATGAATTAGAAAATAAGGTCGAAGTGAAAAGTGTGGCATTGTTTAGGCATCAATTCTCGTTGTTTGATGTCTCTTGCTGTCTTTTTCAGGCCACCACCTATTACGACTACGTCGACTTATCCAACCAGCACGATGCAAACTACTACACCAACACCTAATGCACCGACAGATCCACCCACCTCGACAGAGCCAACCACGACAGAGGCACCAACCACGACACAGGCACCAACCACGACACAGGCACCAACCTCGACAGAGCCGAGCACGACAGAGCGAAGCACGACAGAGCCAACCACGTCCACGACAACACCAACCACGTCAGAGTCAACAACTTTCACATCGACTGAGGCAATGACGAGCACTTCTGACGAACCTTTCCCATACTCTTCATCGCCGTCTTATTTCTCGGGAATTAGAAGGCGCCGCAGGAGCCGCCGGCGTCGCTCAGCCCCCACGTCCACCCATTCGTCGGACGGAAGCATCCTCAAGATTATCCGCGGTCTCCTGACACCGAAGGTATGGGAGCTGGATGCGGGTGCAACAGACTATTCCTACGAAGATGACGATGACGAATTGGTGTATGAGAGCGACGGCGAGAGCATGATGGCGGAGGCTCGACCTTTGATCATGCCGCCGATGGTCTCGCAGCAGGCGGCGGGCCAGAGCTGTTACTGCGGCCAGGGATATGACGGCGAAAACTGCGCCGGCACCGAAGGTGGGTCCACAGCGGATTGACACCGCGTCGCTGTGCCAGATCCGAACTGTGAGTTTAGAGCTTAGTGAGGGATTTGCACACTGAAGTGAATATTTTGACATAGGGATGTACTCGGTGAAGTTGAGATGAGTTTCAAGCTTTCTGATACATGCTCCGAAAATGATAAATGCAGTGTAATCGGTAGACATCTAATGTTTGTTATCAGAATTGCCGTTTCCAAGGGTCAAGGTCACCAAATTCAGTGACATATTGATAGTAAAACACAGAAATATTAGTAGAAAACTGTCATCGAAGTAGACGAACCACTTACTAGAACCGTGTCGCACATACATGCAGGGAATCGAGCCCGAGCCGTGCGCACAACAAACGTTACCCATGCCCATAGGTAACGAACAAGAATACACGCTTTGTCGGGACCAGAAACTCGGAGGACAAGGCAACCAGCTTATCCTGGATTTCGCCATGCTGGGTCTGCTGCCGTGGGATATCATCGATCCTCAGGAGGGCTGCCCCTCCCCCGACGTAAAGCCCCCGGATGACTCGGACGGGTGCCTGGTGCCCTCCGGTGCGGCAACACTTCGCTATTGGTTAGTGCTTATAAACCTATCCGTATAGCTTTCCGATTCGACTTTTCATGGGTGATCTTTATATAGGAAATGTATAGCTTTTTGAAATTTTCACTCCGGTCTGATGTGTGGAAGCTCCAAAACTATGTACTTTATGTCTTTAAGGGCACATAATCTGGCGCTTCCTCACGATTATGAGGCTAAGCAACTGCAGAACACATAACCTCCTTTGCAGGTGCCAGGGTAAAACCGAGTGCAAGCCGAGTATCGCCTTTCTCAAGGACCTCGGCCCGGACTCGTGCTTATTCGCCGAGGGCGACTCGCTGCCGATGTGGCTGTACCTGCGGTACCGGGAGGACACCACCCACAGCGTCACCGAGTGCCGACAGGACGGCACCTACGACCCGTCCACTCGCACCTGTTACACAGTGACCAGCTTACCGGGCGGCTGGCACGACCAGCGCGCCGCGTGTCGCCGACAGGGCGGCGAGATGTTCTGGGACGTGCACAGCTCCGTGTTCGCCACCTTCCTCAGTCAACTAGTCGCTGACACCGGCAGGAATATCACCGAGCTGTGGGCGATGGGCGAGTCGCTTTCGGAGGCACGTCCGGTGTTGAACCTCACCTCTGAGGCGTACCCGGCCAACGTGGACTCCTGTGTGTCGCTGACTGAGCCATCCTGTTCGCGGTCGGCCAACAAACACACTGTGTGCGCGCTGCCGCCCTGGCCCAGCCAGGTCATTCCCAACTGCCCGGAGGTCACATTCGAGCAGTTCGACCTGACGTTTCCCGAGACGAAGCCCGGGAAAACGGTGAGCCAGCCGTGTGGCGCCGGCTACACGGGCTCTGCCAGCTACATGTGCGGCGTGGACGGACAGTGGAGCTCGCAGTACCCCGACCTCTCGTGAGTATCAACAGCTTTCGGCAGACCGTGCCGCTCTGATAACTGCACGATGGGTTCATTTTGCTGAGGGAAGAAACAGAACGGGAAAAACCAAAAGATGTGCCTACAGTTTCAGAACAGCAGGTGCAACTGTGATAAGCATCGTTTTCTTTATGATATTTGCAATCTTGATAACCCGCGCCGGGCCGGTGCTCTGAAATTCCGCGCCGGGCCGGGGGTGACTGAACTCTGAACACCCCCTTCTAACTCGGCTCCTGGGCCACGTAGCGATACGCGGTAAGCGGCAATCGAAAGAAAGTCCAAAATAAGGACGAAAACACTTCGGTCATTTTTTGGGTCAGGTCAAATGTCAGGTCACCAGAGGTCACCAAAGGTAAAATGTTGACCATTTCAACATTTTGGAAACTGCCGACGGCTTCTCGGGAACCGATAGAGCTACAGCGCCGCGGAAAGTGCATTCGATAGCCCTTTTACAGACCTTTCTGAGATTCGTTCTCATATTTGACCTCAGGTCAACGGTTTAGCCTCCAGAGGGCAAAAACTCCAAAAATAGTCGTTTTTACGAAAAGCGTTTTTTTTCGGCAATAACTTTTGACGCAAAAGAGCCATGACATTACTTTTGCCAGAATCGTGTTCCCCCCGTCGAGACGCGTCGAATGAACTACAATTTGACCTTGAAAGGTCAACTTGAAAATTTGACCTCAGGTCAAGGTCATGACCTGACCGGAAAAGGTCATGTTGCATATCAGTCGATCCGCAACGTCGAGCCGAACACACCTAAGGTGTTTTAAGCGCTCTAGCACGCCTCTATTAGAAGTTATTAGCGAAAAACTGCTAGATTCTGTTCGTGACCTGAGATGACCTCGGGGACATAACGAGGGGTCACAAATGCCATTTTCCGGTTCAGTGTGTCAATCTTACCTACATCTCGATGTTTGAGAGCCTAGAATAGCGTTCGTGCAAAACAGACGCTTTTCAATTTTCCCCCATTGACTTATAATGGAGAGGCCGCAAAATTGACCTTACCTTTATAGGTCATCGATATCAAAATTCTGAAATATACTATACATTTGATAGATAATAGCCGTTTTCACGACGGCCATCTGGTACACATTTGGTGCACATCTGGTACAGATCAGGTGCAGATTTGGTCAAATCAGGTTCAGTGTGTATCTTAGCAGCTATAAGCTAGGGTTGCACTAACTGCTTATATGCCTGCTTTGTCATATTATCGTAGAGCATCATCGATTAAAACACTGAAATAAATTCATAAAATGAAGATATTTGCTGTAAAAGAAATTAGGTGCAGATTTGGTCGAATCAGGTGTATTCGCCGACAAGCCCGTCGTGAAAACGGCTAATGCTGCTCAGTCAGGGGCGTCGTTTTGTATAGGCCTGGGAGTGCCCGAGCACTACCAATGTTCAGCTGAGCACTACCAATGTGTTGTTGAGCACTACCAACATTTTTCTTCACTTATTGAGAAAATTGCATTCAAACATGTCATACAAATAAAATGAATGAGGTTCTTATGTTTAAATTCAACATGATAGCAAGTAACTTCAATGGTAAGTGGTAACTAACTATTGATGAAAATCTACATAGGCGTCGCCAGAGATTTTCGGTTGGGGGGGGGGGCAAAATTAACTTTTGTGTTAAATCTTACCTTTCCCCAGTCGTTACGCACTCGTTTTACATATCATTCGACGCGCAATTGTGCGAGGAATCCGATGGTGATAAAAAAAATTTCCTTCTAGCTATGGCAGGTATTCTTTTTTTTACAGAAAAATTCGAAATCTTGAAATTTCTGGACAAAAATGACCGTTGGAATTACAGTGGCTGCTGCCTGCAACTGCCGACGCACTGCAGAGGGCCCCTGTGCAGACGCTCGTCGCTCATGATCATCACCCAGAAAGAGGTGAAAAACGCTTCATCGATTTTTTGCGAATAACTCGCGTAAAAGCGGCCGATCGCGATGAAGCAACTCGGGGGTAACCCTCGCCCGTATAGGGGGGAGTCGAACGGGTTTAATCGGATCACCCTGCTAAAACCTTCATTTTCGCATGCATGCAGAGGTTTTACCAGAGGTACTATTGGTCTCAAGATAAGGGTCCAGGCGGCCTGTAGGTTTGATGCGGTGAATACCCTCACCCTCGCCACAGCTGGAGTTGGGGTAGGGGAGGGGGTGCGTTCGGCCCGAGTCTGACAGCGCACACTGGGCCGGGGGTCCGGAAAAGTGCTAGAAATTATTGTGATTGAGTTGTTGATCTCAGTGACAAGCAAACATGCTAAAAACGAAGTGGGGCTGCTTAACCCTCGCCGGACCTATTGTCGGACCCCCCACCCCCTCGGCCGGTCGAGGGGGGAGGGTTGGTACGACCCCTTTTTGCCGTTTCGCCCCTAATGGAGCTAGAGCCTCGCGGAAAAAACAAGCGTGTGCGCCGTTTCAAGGCGGAACGATTGATACCCGATTTTAAGGTTCCAGGTCAACCGGTAACCTCTGAGGTGATGTCAAAAAGCCCAAGGTAGGGTTTGGTTTTTGGCAAATAATTTCGCAAAAAATGGCCGCAGAGCAGCGATTTTGGCACCATCGTGTTCGTCTGGCTCAGGCGCGTCGAATGGTATACTTTTTTTCGGGTGAGGTCAATTTAAGGTATTGACCTCGAGTCAAGGTCAGTTCAGAGCCCATCAGGCCACGAACTTAATCGAAGGAGGTCGTATCGCATATCATTCGATTTGGGAGGTCTTCCCGAGTCCATTGGTGGCTTTCCCGAGTCGCTGGCTCAATTTGATCATGAGTTATTGACGAGAAACTCATATGACCGGTGTGACGTCATAAATGACGTCACGGAAGGTCAAAAATGCAAAAGTAAAGCATCGGATCTTGCAAGGAGTGCACGAAATCACGATTCCGTGTGCTTGAGATAGTTTGAAATCATTCCATGCGCAAAACAACAGTTTCCTTATTTCCCCATTCACTTTTAATGGTGAGGTCACGTGACCTCGAAGAGTAGCAGGCATTAGCAAAAATGGCGAGTAGGGCATGACAGAAAGATGATTGGTGGTTTGTATGGCATGACCATTTTTAACGGCTCGAAATAACATTTCTCAAAAAGTCTAACTAAAGAGCAAGTTGTTGTTGATTATCACTGACTTGTGTTTAGGGGTTAATAATGACTGAATTTTTTAGTTTGGCCCAGAAATGTTGACAGCATTGTGTGCGTTGATCAATTCTGAGTTCAGGGACATATATTTAGATTATCAGCATTTGTTTTTCACAACTTCCAGCGTTTTAAAGAGCGCCGGGCCTTCAGTAGAGCGGCGAGGTGACAATTGCCCCTACATCATGTGGTTTACTGGCGCATATCTCGAAAAGTAGCAGGGAAAAGCAGCAAAGCACCTATATGGAACAAAAGATGAGTAATCAGAGGCTAGTATGAAATGTTCATTTTTAGCTGCTCGAAATAACGTTTTTATAAAAGTCTAATTGAAAAATTGGATATGATTTTAAATTACGTCTTGCAGCTGCTTGCAAACAGCTAGCTTATCTTGCAGAAAAGCGATGCAATATGTCAGAATGATGTTGGCACAGTGAGCAACAGTTCCCTGAACTAGTCTGACAGGAAATTTTGTTCAAAACGACGATTGGTCAACTAATAAATTACCACTAAAGTTCATCATTAAAATCGGTAAATGTGGTGGCCTATAGAGAGTCTAAATTGTCTTGTGTTTGGTGACAACTGACGACCTCAATTTTGACCTTAGGGCAAAACTAGCATCGGAATCGTATTCTTCGATCAATTTGGGATTAAATGATACCTATTTTGTTCATATTGCGGACAGTCAGTTTGGGGGAATTTCTAGCGCTTTTTCAGGCTGCCGGCCTACAGTGCAGCGGGGTCGCTCGCCGCAGTGTGGTGTCCAGCGGTGCAGTCGGAATCAGGCGGAATTATGCCGGTGGCGGTAACCGGTCGAAGGGCCTGGCTCAGTCGCGTCTGGAGACGAGTTACCGAGCAGGATGTCAGCGATAGATGGGAGGGGTGTGGTCAGGGCGCTGTTTGATCACCAAAATCAGCATGCTGTCAGTTTGCTGCCGTTTCTCATCTTCTCATTGGTCGTTGATGAACCACACGTGGTGTGTGCGATTGACCAATGAGAGACTAAGCGACGCCTATAACTGGCTTCCATATATTGGAAAACCGACAGCAAGCTGAAAACACGACAGTGCATGGGGCGCACTAGCTTTGAAGGTCGCTCCGCAAAAGCATAACTTTCCATAGATGAGGGTGACGGGTGTTACCTACCCCAAACTTCTTGCGATTGCTCTCAACAAGGAAACCTGAAAGCTGAAAATAGCACACCTGACTTGATTCAAGCCGATTCTCTGGTGACACCAACGACCAATTACATTTTCAGTTCTTGTCGAGTCACTGACCTATGACGTCATAAAAGACTTCACTCGGTCCCAAAATATTGCGGCTTGGCAACTCCGCCATTGCTAGGTCAACTTCTGCAGATAAAAAAAAACTCACAGGACTTCATATTCTTCCGAGACCTTGCAACTTTTATGTCTCGTAATTTCTAGAAGTTTACGTAAAGCTAGGTCAATGACGTGACCTCCCTCACCATCATAATTCAACAAGGGAAATATTAAAATTTATGTTGATGACAAAATAAATGATTTAAGACTATCGTTTGCACATGAAGTCGTGCTCGTGTCGCTTCACTCCTTGCAAGATCGATGCTCAACTTTTGCGTTGTGAACCATATGCAACGTCATAAGCGACGTCACATAGATATTTGAGTTTTTTGTCATTATCCCGCACCGTGAACAGCGTTTACAATTGCTTCATGTGCAAAGAGAGAAAATTGTCAGATGTCGTTTACCTGATTTATTAAACGTCTAGTAGACATCTCGTCTAGCCTGAAATATGCCGTATTTTTTACATTAAATGTATTTTAACTTAAGTGACCGAAAGATGCCGGTGGTACGGGATAAAATTATT